TGACTATAAGTAGGTTCTAAGGTACTAAAACCATGAATATAAGTAGGCTCTAAGGTACTAAAACCATGAATATAAGTAGGCTCTAAGGTACTAAAACCATGACTAAACGGATCAGAGGAAAGGCACCTGCTGCACAGCCTCACACTGGGATCCATCCCCAGAATCACCAAACTACCAAATCACCAGACTACCAAAACATGATTGGTAGCTCCCCTCTATAACCCAAAGAATGATGGGTAGTCTACCACTACAATTCAGAGACACGAGGTGAAGACAAGCCAGTTACCCTAAGTACACTGAGCGGCAGAAACAAGAGAACCTGTGCCAAACAGGTGGCAGGAGAAAATCAATTCCCTGAAGCTCTCCTCTGACTTCCCCATGCATACTGAGCAGAATGCCCACACATGCATGCTGAACAGAATGCCCACACATGCAAGCTGAGAAGAATGCCCACACATGCCCTCGAATGCACAAGTAATAAAAAATGCAAACTAAAAAGACAGCAAAGCAGCCTCGTGGTGGCATGCACCTTTAATCCCAGCATAGACAGGCAGATCTCTGAGTTAGAGGCCACCTGGTATACAGAGTAATTTCCAGAACAGACAAGGCTACACAGAGACACCCTGTCTTGGAAAAATAAACAAAGAAAAAACAAAAAACAACCAAACAAAATGCCATAACACAGAATAGAAAATCTCTATAAATAGGTATGTATATGTTAAGTAGGTAACATACCGATTTGTAGAGATTTTATTTACTTTTGCCTAAAGAGAATAGAATAAAATATAGGAGAATAAAACAAAAGCTTCCAGTGACATGGTCTCCTCTCCATTTACTTTTATTATTAATTTAAACACATGCCCTACCCCTCAGTATTAGGTACTGAACTGATGTTCTCATGTATGGTGGGCAAGTTCTCTACCACCGAACTGTAGCTCTAGCCTAAGATGCTCTCATTCTTTTTTTTTTTTTAAAGATTTATTTATTTATTATGTATACAACATTCTGCCTCCATGTATGCCTGCAGGCCAGAAGAGGGCACCAGATCTCATTACAGATGGCTGAGAGCCACCATGTGGTTGCTGGGAATTGAACTCAGGACCTCTGGAAGAGCAGACAGTGCTCTTAACCTCCGAGCCATCTCTCCAGCCCCGATGCTCTCATTCTTAATGACTGGAGAAGATATAACATTAACAGTATAATATATGATTTTAACGTCTAAATGTTTAAAATGATCTATATGTCATACTGCATAAAATTTTGACTTTATACTTTAGTTCTCATGTTATAATAAATTTAGAGATCTGAGTTTTCTTTCATATGTTTTTTTATAACAGTAATGACTTAGGATAAAATGCATCACAGAGTCAAAAGGAGAAAAGTGTTCATTGATTGGCAAGATTGGATGATAAGAAGCTTACCACCAAGCCGGAAGACCAGAGTTCAATTCCTGTGGCCAAGGAGAAGACTCATTCCTGCAAGTTTTCCTCTGACTGCCACACGTGTGCTATGTATGGCATGTGTGCATGCTTCCCACCACATACACACAATAAATAAGCAAACATGGAAAAACACCAACCAGTAAGTTAGCTTTCCAAAAGTCTATGTCTGTGTGTGTGTGTGTGTGTATGTGTATTTAGGTTTGTTAAAAGGTTTGTTAAAAGAAAAGCAACTAGTGTTTCACATTATAAAAAATTATCTAAGCCACCTGAGCTGCCTTATATTTTCATTAAAAAAAGAACTAAATCAATACTTAGCACCGCATGTCTGCTGGCATAAAGTCAAAACAGGTGTTAAAAGTGATGCTTTGTATATTCCATCAAATGTAAATTATACACTCACAAAAAAACCTAAATTAAACAAAATACACCAGGTGTAGTGGCACACACCTTTAATACCAGCACTTGTGAAATAGAGGCAACCTGGTCTATATAGTGAGCTACAGGACATCCAGGGCTATGTATAGAGTCCCTGACTCAAAAACAAAACAGAAAACTAAAACTGTTGAGGGGGTTGGGGAACTGGCTCATTTGGTGAAGTGCTTGCCATGCAAGTATGAAGAGCCGGGTTTAATCTCGAGGATCCATGTTTAAAACAACTAAACAGGTGCAGTGCCATGTGCTTTAACCTCAGAGTGCTTGCTGTGCAAGCATGAAGACATGAGTTCAAACCTCCACGCTTCATATAGAAAGCTAGAGGTGGCTGTGTGTGAGCCTCAGAACTGTGGGGGCTGAACAGTAGGAGACTGATCTCAGGTGACCATCAGGTGTACCAAAGAGTATGCACTCACATACACAGGTGTGTAGACCTCTCCTACGCCACTGATTGTCCAACAGTACCGCTGTCCACTTTTCTGTACTGTCCCCAACACTGTCACCCAAACCAAACATAATCCAACCCTCCCTTGGGTTCTCAGCCTCAAACTCACTGCCATTCCTAATTAGACAATCTCGATTTTGAGCATTGTCATGTACACTCCAGCATGTATAGCGTCATCTCTTGCCCCTACACTCCAGGTAACAGTAGCACTCATCCCTCCACAGTCCAACAATAAGAAAGTCTCCAGAATTACCAAACGTTTTCTACAAAATTAGCTATAAACTTGGTCATGTTTTAGAACCACCAATTTGCATGAATAGTTTCCTCACCAGTGAGGCCATTTAACACACACACATACACACACATACACACACACACACACACACACACACAAATATACACACCAACCAGAGAGATCCTTTCTAACCAAAACTGTGATCAAGTTACTTTATGGTTTAAAACTTTTCATCAGTTTTTTGGTTACGGTTTGTAACTTGTTAGATTGAGGTCCTAAGTGCTGAACACATGAACACATTAAGTACACTTCTACCTTCCTGAGAATTACATTTCTCTTTACTCCCCACTTCAGACCCTCAAGCATGCTATGGTCTTCACTATGCCTCTCTTCAGCCTTTTAGCTATTTATCTGTAAGGCTACCCTCACTTCTTCTTACTCTGGCCTGATGAACTCTTATCTATACTGCATATCTCAAGTAAAAATTTTTTTTTTCAGGGACTCACTATAGGCTTCATCAATCTACTCTAAATATAACTTTACAATGCCCTAACTTTCTTTGTGGCATTTATCCCTAAACCCATGCTGCATTTATGGGCATAATTATGGCTCTTCTCTCAATTTCAACATTATATTATTCTGCTCATCACTCTATCCTTGAAGGCTAGTGCAAAGGACGTATGTATTATTTTTCCCTCAATGCAATGAATTCACCACACATAATGGCTACAGCTAAGACTGATTATTCTTGGAAAGTAGTACTATATATCATGTCCAAAAGAATTTTCTATGTGTGTTCTAAATTTCTTTTAACATAACTTGTGTAACCAGAACAAGAAAACATTTATATACCTAGCGGCTGCAGCAAGTATCGTCTGGTATTGAAGATCCTTGCCACTCCAGCCAATGTCAGTACCCATGTCTCAGCCCACTGTTTCTCTGCTGTGTCTCTTGAATGATGAATTAAAATATTTCCACCTCCAGACTCAATCTTCTCTTTATCTGCTGTCGTAGAAGATTCTCGGACTCGGTCCAGTAGATGAAAGAGTACCTAGATATTTATTTTAAAGGTCATAAAAAAGGTCACTGATGACATAGTTTAAGTAATGGCAAAATAAACTAGAAGTTATAAAAACATGTAACAATTTTATTAAACTACAAAAATTTAATTAACGAAAGCAGGTAACCATGTACTCTTAAACGTACCCTTAAAGTCACAGAATATGAAAAGGTAAAGCTAACTGGACAGAATATCAGATAAGAATTGCTATCAGTGGAATATGTATGGGATAATACTTGAGACAAGGATGCAGGTCCAGGCACAAAGTGTAATTATGGAGATGTCCAGATGAGTTTAGGACTAAATGTTTAAATAAAGTGTTGGAAAAACAATCAGCAAGGAAACGCTAGCTAGCACTTGGTGAATGCTTACACTTAAAGGAAACGGAGAGCAAATGGGACAGTGGGGAACCAAACAGAGGAGGAGAGTAGGCGAGCTTTGTGAGACAGAAAACTTCAAAAAGAAGATGAATCAACAATGTTAGGCACAAAGTGCTGGTTCCATTCCCAGCAGAGCAACAAGAAAGGAAAGAAGGAAGGACAGGAGACGAAAAGGAAGTGGAGGACGAGGAGGAGGAGGAGGAGGAGGAGGAGGAGGAGGTGGAGAAGTCTTCATATGCTGCCCTAAGGATCTGGTGACTCTGCTTTATCAGGGAGAACAGGGTGGAGGAGAAAGGGGATGGAGATAGAAACTAGTCTCTGGGGGTGCCTGTGCTCCTGCACGTGCGCACACACACACACACACACACACACACACACACACACACAGAGTAAAAATGAAGACAAATACATGGGAATGATTCTTTAAAAAGGTAACACATTTACCTGAAGATGTAAACTATAAAAGCACATGTCAACTAAAAGCTACCAGCCCAAAACACCTCACAGTACCTTCCAGATAACTGTGTGCCAGGTTGAATGCTGCAGCAAGGTCCCATGTGCACCAATTGTAGAAAACAGAGTCTGCCCTGCACTTTTCCTCACAGCAGGGCGCGGGTCCACACACAGTTCACCCAGTTTTGCATAAAGGCACAGCCACAAGCAATCAAACGGCGGTGCAGGGTGGAAGGGCCGATTTAGTGACACTCCTTTCTCTTCTGCCTGCTTCTGCTGGGCTGCCTCCTCTTTATTTAATTCTTTTTCAATAGTTTCCCCTCTTTGGAAAAAATAATCTGAAATATTCCACTAAAAAGAAAAGTATAAAAATATAACTTTATTCACAAATTTTGTTTTAAACTTCAAAATAGTTTCAATAAAAGCATCTTTCTCATTCGAATGTCTAATTTCAAGAGAATATGACTATTTTGTCTAGGCATTAACTTTCATTGTCCTGTACCTTTTAGTTATGAAAATTTTCAATTATATAGAATGAACTTCAATGTATTGATATACATAGCACCTAGCCATTATAATTGTTAACTATAAAACAATATATTACCACAACAAATTAATTTTCTCATATCATTTAATCACTTATAATTTCATACAAAAATACTAGCTGTTATCTTAACATATGCCAAAGGATTTGCCTTCAAGGATAATGAAGTATGTGAATTCATGGTGATGGCCAAGGACGGAAGCGCAGTGGTTCCAACACTGAATCAATGTAAAGGAGGGGATGTCTTGCGGGCACTGAGCCTGAATTACCCAGCTGCTCTTTGGCAACAGGTCTGTATGTGAGATGACACTGTCTTCCATGGTCACAGTTTTCATAGAAAACACTAACTTACTGACTTTGTGTGATAAGTTTACAGTTGAATTCTATGGAACTTCTGAGCTATAATAAACATTTAGGAGATGCTAAACAGCTGCCTTTAAAAAGACCTAACCAGGGCTGGAGAGATGGCTCAGGGGTTAAGAACACTGACTGCTTTTCCCGTGGTCCTGAATTCAATTCCCAACAACCATCTATAGTGGGGTCTGATGCCCTCCTCTGGTGTGCAGGTGTACATGCAGAGAGAGCACTCATGTACATAAAATATAAATAAATCTTTGAAAAAAAAAGACCTACCCATCTTATGACAGAGATTTAACTTCAGTTTTATAAACTTTCTCAATTTGAACACACAGGTGAGAGTCCAAACAATTTTCTTAGATAAACTACAAATACTGGAGCCTGTTCTCTTCATATTTGCTTCATGCGTGACACTTGCAGTACCTAACATACTACCTCTGTACTCACAATATGTAAAATGAGACTAAATGTCAATAATTCAATAACCAACAAGAGCTAAACACAACTAAAACACACACATGCCTGTCTCCAGAGCCTTCCACTATAATATGTTATCTCCTGGGTCTAACTGTATTGTTGACAGACTACAAGTCTATGTAAGTTGTAAACAAAGTAAACTAAAAAGTCTATGAAACTGTATTAAGGTTATTTACGATCACTACATCTGCACACTAACAACAAATCCTGAGTCTCCTTTCTATGCATTACTATGATTGTCTCCCTAAGGCCTCTCTTCATAAACGTTAAAGCTCAGTATACCAAAATTGTTTCCACTGTCCTGATACTGATGGTTTGTTTCCTAGGTTATTTCATTCACCATGGATGATGTGTTTGGAACTTAGAAGTCAGTAAAAACTTCCAGATCCCAGACCACATTTGTATTCATTGCTTACTACATAACAACCAAGAAAAGCAACGATACTTACCAATAAGCCTATTGAAGTTAAACTAATATTAAGTTCTTGGTTATGAAGTCCAAAGCTACCTGCAACATCTACAACTATCTGTAGGCAAGAACAAGGCATTGTTGGTAGAAAATCTGTCACAACCAACTGAAGACACTGGAAGGCAGTTCTTATTAGAGATTCTCTAAAAACACAAAGGAAACGCACATTTAAAAGAAACGTGTAAGAAAACACACCTTACAATAACATCAAGCAAGCCAACTTTATTTTAGAATTTAAACCAGAAGTCCTTCCTGTTGCAATCCAAGGAAAGCAACCCAGTACTCAGGGTTCCCCCATGGCTTCTGCTTTAGAGCCTGCCTTGACTTCATGATGGACAATGACAGGAGGTGTTAAGACAAAGAAACCCTTACTCCTCAAGTTAGTGTTGGTCATGGTGTTTACCACAGCAAGAGAAGACAGGCTAGAACAAAGGGGAAAGAATGGAAAGGAAAATAATGACTACTAATTATGGCACTCTCAATAGGCTGTCGCTAGCGGGTTCCTAAGTGCTGAACGCATGTCAATTCATTTCATCCTTACAGCATACTTCCTACTCTGTAAACTGCATTGAGTTGAGAAGATCAACTTCAACATGGTGTAAACTGGTCTTCTTTACGATAATCACTCAAACATGCTATGTTATTTAGGAAATTTACTATTATAAATACTCAAACATTAATTTTTTCTCATTAATTTCCTAATAGTTTTAATATAAATCTCAATGATAGCTGGGCATGGTGGTACACACCTTTAATCTTAGCCCTAAGGAGGCAGAGGCAGGAGGATCTCTGTGACTTCAAGTCCAGCCTGAGTTCCAGAAAAGCCAGGGCTGTTACACTGAGAAACCGTGTCACTGAAAGAAAACTCTATGTGATACTGCAGAATTCCAGACAGAGGTGTCAGTGCCTGCTAACCTGCTCCACTGGTGTTCTATCACAAACTATGTAAAACCCTAAGTCCCATTCAAATGTGCTCTTCCTTCTGTATTCCCTATTTATTTAATGGCATCACATTCCCGAGTTTACCTAAGTCAGAGATCTGAGGATCATTCTAGACTGCCATTTCTCCCTCTGCCCCCCAGAGTCAACCTACTAAAATCCCTCAGCTCCCTCTCACTGCTAAGACAGTGCTGTCACTGCGTCCACATGTCCTGCTCTCCAGTGCTCCCAGCACAGTGGCAGCTGTCACAGCCACATCTGGTTGTATCACTCCCCTGTGTAAAACCCTAAAATGCCACCCAAATATACTCAAGGCGAATGCAAATAGCTTTTAAAAGCACATGAAGCTATTTATAAGAATTTATACTTCTGGTTCCACCCCTCACCATTAGAGCTTTCGTTCTTGTAGTCTAGAGTAGTGGCCGTTTATTTGTGTACACAGAACAGTTAACAAGTTCAGTGTTTGGGATACAGTAAGCACAGAAGAAATGTTTAAGAAACAAAAGAATAAAGTTTTTTTTTAAAAAAAACTTAATATATGAGGTCCTTTAGATTTGTTACGTTGGTTTATTTATCTTATAATAAGATCTTACATGTAATATAAATGTCATAAAACAGCATATCTTCTCTCCTTTGAAAACCAAAATAATACTTAAGAGTTCCCAGAGCTAACTGGGGGTAGTTTATGGTAGGTTCTGATGAATCCTGGACATGAGCAGGAAGGGATAAATTAAAATGTTTCACTACAGGACTTTAGGGTGGGTCCCTTCTAACTCTCTCACATGCTGGGTATCCATTTCAAACACTTACCCTTGATCATTTCTGATAGCTCCCATGACTCCAAGAACCAATGGCCATCCAGGCCCCAGACTGTCTCCCTGACTCTGTAGAATCTGCAACACACATTCTAATTGCTTGAGTCGAATATCTGGATGGTTAATACTGGACATCTCCTTTAATGGGTTCAACAAAAGCAGCTGCAGTCTCTAAAAGGGGACAAGAGGCTAATTAGGAAAAGAGAGCAAGGCTCTGTTGCAGCTGTGCCCCACATCCCTTTATCTTCTTGCAATATCATCTCTGTGTTGCCCAGGTTGGTCTTAGAAGTCTTGTGCCTCAGCATCCTAAGTGCTGGGACCAAAAAGTGCACCACCTTTCTCTCCTGTTCCTTCTGAGGGTTCAACTTGCCTCCATCCACAATATTGTAGGAAATAAAGTTCCCTACAAAAAGAACACAGACTTTGATTTCTCTAGCAATAATTTTTAGAGGTTTGTTACTTATCTCTACGTTTAAGTAAAGGGGGAAAACAAACCAGTGTACAGTATGCTAAATTTCAGTATAAAAGTGGAGTTACCAAAAAAAAAAAAAAAAAAAAAAGTGGAGTTACCAACTTCTTAGATCCACTAGAGATAGAGCTCATTAAAGAAATATATCTTTAGCTATAGTTGAAGAAAAAAAACAATTCCCAATATCTAGTATTATCTTTCATTTACTTTATTAATGTATTACAGGTATTTAGATGTAAAATTCTCAAGTATGATATAATAAAAAGCATAATAGTTTGAAATTACATGCTTTAGTAACAATTATTGTTAAGCCACAAAATCTGTTGGGAAAAAAAGCACTGTTTCATCCTTTCAGCATCCAAGAAGTGCTTCATTTTAAATTTTCTTCTCTCCAATTTTTATTTTATATGGTTAACTTACTAAACAAATATTAAGTCTTAACTGTGCACTGGATATTGAGCAGACACTGAGTCTGTGAACATAAAATGATTCTAAAATATTTTTATTACTATTCATTTGGTATGTATGAATGCGTGGCACATCATATATGTGGAGGTCAGAGAACAACTTGTAGGAGTCAGCTCACTCCTTGCACCATGGAGGTCCTGGGGATTGAACCCAAGGAGTCAGAGTTGACAGCAATCACCTTTGCCTACTAAGTCACTTTGTCAGCCATTAGTTTATATAGTTTTTTAAAGTCTCAAATCAGAGGCAGGCATGGCAGTATATGTGCACAATTTCAATACTCAGGAGAGAAACGCAGCAGGACTCTACAGCAAGAGCCTGTCTTTGAGCATCAAGAGCAGCGGATGCAGCCGAAGGCTGGAGCACTGACGCCAGCATGATGGACACAGCTATGGGGTCAGGGTCAGCATCAGTAAAAGAAGAAACAAACGAAAAAAATCCTTTAAGCTGCAGCAGAGAAAATAGGAATCACTGTAACTGGCAGCTCCACAAGATGGAGGACCATCTTGGGTACCATCAATGGGTACCAAGCATCCCATTCTAGTGGCTATATTCAACAATGGCATGTGAATTCACTGTATAATACATTCACAAGATGTAAGACGGTAAAGGGAACCGTAATGGCTATTAGATGCTTGTTTTATTCAGTCTTGAACCAGTGAAACTTCAGTGAATAAAAAAATAAAAACTTTAAAATATATGTGAAAGGTAAAGGAAAGACAGAAAATTAAGTACAAAAGAGAATTTTGAACATATCAAGTGATAAATGATTTAAAAATAGGGTAAAAGCCTTGCCATGTGGCCATGGGGACCTGAGTTCAGATCCCCAGCACCACAGAGAAAGGGAGGCACAGCACACTGGGTGGGGAGAGCAGTGCAGCATGGAGAGCTCCAGACTCACTGAGACTGCCTCAAAAGTGGACAGTGTGGACATCTGATGCCACCGCTGGACTCCACAACCGACGCAAGGGACCCAGCACCCAGTGCATACACCATACCCACACCCATCCACCCACGCACCCCGAAACCTACTCTACTTTACTGGCTGCTTCTGCTCTTGCTCTGTCCCTGGGAGAGCAGTGAGGAGCGGGTGCTAAAGGGTGGGGACAGGGAAGCCCTGAGGAGGGGAACAGCTCCAGGGCAGCTGCCAACTTCACTCAGCATCACTGAAATGCTTTTATAAACGAATCCTAAAACTGTTAGCATTAATAAGCAGCCCACAGCCTACGAGTAAGATAGAATATTGTTTAAGAATTCTGTTTTAGATATTAGCTTGGTGGCACACACCTTAAAATCCCAGCTCTTGTGCAGTAAAAACAGGAGGCCCAAGAATTCAAGGTCACCCTTGCTGTATACGGAGGGAAGTCAGCCTGGGTACTAAGACTCTGTCTCACAAAAGAAAATTTATCCTAGGGCTGGGCAGCGGTCGTGCATGCCTTTAATCCCAGAACCCGGGAGGCAGACGCAGGTGAATTTCTGTGAGTCTGAGACCAGCCTGGTCTACAAAAACTAGTTCCAGGAAAGGCTTCAAAGCTACCCTGTCTTGGAAAACAAAAAATAAAAAACAAAAAAAAAAAGAAAGAAAGGAAAGGAAAGGAAAGGAAAGGAAAGAAAGAAAGAAAGAAAGAAAGAAAGAAAGAAAATTTATCCTAGAATATCATGAGATGAAACTACGTCTGTGAGTGATGGTTAAGCACGTTTTTACCTGGTTCTGTGTCAGCGGCGGCTCATGGTTAAATGCCAGCCCTGCTTTAATGAGGGACGTCAGGGCTTCTGCTCCCCATTCTCTCATTCGAGAGTTTGGGTGCTGGCACACCTGAAGAAACACATGATCAATAAAACTATATTTTATTGTATGCATAAGGTAAAAAACACACATTAATCTGAGACCAGAAAAACCAATGTCATATTACAGCTTCTGGTATTTTTTTTTTTTACAACTTAAAAGAGTAAAAGAAAAACTATATTCAAAAATTTCCGTAAGCTTACCTTCTGAATAAAGGCCATGGGAGGCAACAGAGAAAAAGACAGAAGACAAAAGATGAGACTTAAGTCACAGGAAAGGAAGGACTCCATGGCTGGAGGAACACACGTGACCAGAGGAAGCAGAAGCAAGCTTATCCTGGGTGCTAGGGACTGAACCCAGGGCTTCAACCTTTGAATGATAATCCAGCTTATGGTACACTATCTTGAGCCCAATCTCACCTGATAGGGTGGTTTAATCACAGAGAAATCTGCACATATCCTTGATTGATAAATTTAATCCCAGTGAAAATGGGTAAAATTTTAGGAAGAATAGTTATCTTTCTCAGGTTTCTAAAATGACATTAAATTACTATGGCCCCCAAACTATACATAAACTATCAACAGAAACAGCTGGAGTTAAATACCAGCTACTTTTCAAGGCACTGCCAGTTGAAGAAGAGATGCATCTAGTTAAAACTCGGCCACGATGTATGACTTAGTGACAGCTCTCTCATGCGACCTCCACCACGCAAACATGGGCAAGGCACACCTGAAATCGCTCTCACCCCAGACTGTTCAACATCTCAGATACACCTGAAACTGAGATGACTCAAGAGACGTGGTCACAGGAAGCAGTTCCTGACAGAGAGCTGATGTCACTGCTATTTCACACGCCATAGTTTTACACGTTCTTATTTGATGAACCCTTCCCCAGGCTAATTACCACACAACTATAGTCCTTAAAACATAAGGGGCAAGGACGGAGAGGAGAAAATTTGTCTGTCATTATGTTGAATCATATGACCAGTGTACATGCCTTTCTCAGTAAAAGTAAGTAGTATTTAAGAAAGAAAGCTCACCTCCAGTAGATGGCCAGTTAGAGGTCTCCATAAGATTTCTATTCTGTGCATATTAACTAGACCAGTTTCTAATAGTTTGGCAACAGCAAAAAGAGATGGTTCCTAAGAAGGAAACATATTACATGTTGATATGATTAAGAGAATTCTGAGACTGACTGAATAAAATAACACCACTTTGCCTAAATTATTAGTCTGTATATGTAAAGTTAGTAAATGTAACAGAACTTATTATCATACGACAAGTCTTTTTACTATCCCAGAACAGCTCCTAAAGTTACCCCCAAATTATATTGGCACAAAGTGTGAACAAATTACAGATCTTAGAGACCTACAAATTCAACTTTAAAAAATTGTATAGTATTGAAAACATTTGCAACATTAAAATGTTTAATAGCGTCTTTTTCTTCCCAATAGAAGCCATAAATTAGGCTACCCTGGGATTCTAAGACAACTGTGGTACAAGCTAATCATACATACCTAAAGAATGGTAGAAAATTCATTTTTACGGAGAAATATGGCAGGGGGTTAAGACTGATGTCTACAAAGTTTTAAATGCCTGGTATCTCATCTTGATTAGGCCACTGAATAGCTACACAGCTTATATAAGTTACAGTATCTACTGAAATTTTTAATGTGTAAAATGGAGATAATAGTTATAGACGAGATCTTGTCAGAAAGTACATGGTAAAAGTATATCTTCACAAGTGATGACTTCCTTCAACAAACGGGCTATACACACAATCATCTGCAGCATTTAAAAGAACATGTACCTGTCCTGGATTCGTGCCTGAATATTTTTACAAAATAAGTTTTAATTAATTTAAAGTTTTTTAAAAGCTCCATAAGTTTTATATTCTACTCAAGTATTTTAATGGGCTTTCTCTAACACTACAATATATGAACCAAGCAATAATATGAACTTAGAAAAAGAGTTCAGGTTTAGATGTGTGCTCCAAACAGAAAAAGAGACATATGAACAACAGTGTAACCTAAAAAAAAAAAAAAAAAAAAAAAAAAAACCCAAAAAACAAAAAACAAAAAAACATGGTCATCTATATACTACATACATAAGAAACTGGCCTTTTAAAAATGAGTTTGTATCGCCAGTGAAATAGATCCCTGAGTAGTAAGCATTCTTAAGATCTGAGGGTTCTCACCGGGCAGTGGTGGTGTACCTCTAATTTCAGCAGTCAGGAGGCAGAGGCAGATGGGTCTATGAATTCGAGGCCAGCCTGGTCTACAGAGCAAGTTCCTGGACAAACAAGGCTACATAGAAACCCTGTCTCAAAAAACCAAGAAGATTTGAGTTTTCTTGAAGAACTCTAACAAATCCACTGGGAAAAAAGACCAGAGATATAGTTCAGCACAACAAGAACATCTTGCCCATGAAGGACATTTCTACAGTCTATCTTATATACTTTTATTCTTGAACATTGTTTTGTACTGGAAACAGAACCCAGGACTCTATGACTTCAACATTTTATAAAACTTTTATTTTCATTCTATAGTCATCAATTCACTTTTAAATGAGAAACTTCTTATCTTCTTTAGATCACACAGTCAAATGTCAAACATGAAAACAAGCAAGCTGTGTTTATCAAATAGATACAATTCACAAAGCACTGTAAAACTGCTTGTATTTCATTTGGTACTGTATTAAAATATTATAGTTTTGTATTGAGATGTAAGATTTTTCAAGATAATCAATAAACTGATTAGTTTGCTATTGTAACTAATGTTATTCTTGCCTGGATTTGGAACAAATACTACATTATTTCAAATATCTGAGTGTTCGTGCTACTAACTAGATATATGATACATAAAACCATACTCTAACTTTTTCTGTTTTCTATTTTTAGTTTTATATGTGTATGGGTACTTTGCCTGCACATATGTCTATCAGGTGAATACAGTGCCCTAGAAGGCTAGAAAAGAGTTAAAGAAGGCTGTGAGTTGCCATGTGGGTGCCAGAAATCAAAGCTGGGTCCTCTGGAAGAGCAGCCAATGCTCTTAACCTCTGAGCTAACTCTTTCATCTCTAATAAAAACTTTTGTTGCCTTGTTTTGTGGCGTCTCCTGTAGTCCAGGTTGACCTTGACATTATAAAGATTTAACTGACTATGATCTTGAACTAAAGATCTTGCTGCCTGTATCTTCTCCCAAGTGCAGGATTTAGGTATGCACTGTCAATATCTGTTTTATGTGATGCTAAGAATCCAGCTCAGGGTCTCATGCACACTAGGCAAGCACTCTACCAACTGAGCTACTATTCAGCTCCAGGAAGAGAAGAGAAGAGTTACATAAACCAAGATGACAAGCCACAGAGAACAGAAAGATGACTGAGAACTTTAAACACAACACAGTTTGAGGCTGTACAGTTATTATTAAAAAGCTGAATAGTCTTCATGTATTTAGAAGTGATCAAACTATCCACATTTTTTAAATGTGCAAAGGGGGCTGGAGAGGCGGCTCACAGATGAAGAGTGCTAGCCGCTCCTGCAGGAACTGGAATTTAGGTCCTAGAACCCACCGGCTCACCCTGTAATTCCAGGGGATCTAAGACCTTCTGACTCCAAGGGCACCTGAACAAACGAACATACACACACACGGTTTTTAAAATGTATACAGGACTTTATTCTGTTTGGTTTTTTTTTATAGTGCCACATGTCCATTAGACAAGCACTGTGAGTCACTCTCTCAGCTAGTAACTTATTTCTTATTTTCTTATTTTGTTGTGATGGAATCAAACCCTAGGCTTCCAACAGTGAGGGCAAGCGCTTTACTACTGAATGCTGTTAGCCTCAAACAGTTCATTTAAAATAGAAATTTCTAAAATATGACTATGCTCAAATTTTCTTGTGCTTTACAAATGTTATAGAAAATATTTTGAGTATACAAAGAAATGTTCTTGAATGCTAATATCAGAAGTACTGTTCTACACTTACTTGACGGAAGAGAAAGAAGTCCTATTCTACTTACTTAATGGACAATGAAAACGTTTAACTGCAAGGTGAGGAGAATCACTCTCATCAGAAGGAAACAATGAGCCTCTGATTTTCCATTCTTATTTTCCATTCCCATGAAGGCAACATAGCACAGCCACCGAAACCTGCCACACACTTTTCCTAACTGCAATTTTGCATTACCCAAATCATAAATGTCAGATACAACAAATACTATCAAGATATTTTATGAAAGCTAGTTATAAAAACTGTGTTGCATTATTTGTAAAATACTAAGACTATTCAGCACATAAGAAAAAAGGGACATGATTTTAAATTCTACTACACACTTAGACAAATCACAAGCTACATCATGCCCTCTTTATTCCTCCTCTACAAATGGTAAACGCTGACAGTCAAACACTAAGGTCACTCATACACTTGTGTAACTAAAGAGAAATGTAAACTACCACACCTTATTGTTTCCATAGGCCATATCCATTGCTTCTAGAGATAAGGAACAAAGTGCATTTATTAAATGATGCAAAGATACGTCATCAAGATACCTAAAATAAAAATGAAAAAGACAATTTCATCTCAAATATATAGCTAGGAACAGTGTGGCTGTCAATTTAAAACACAGACTTACTGTGAGCTCTCAAACAGTCTTGAAAGTATGTTGGAAATCACTGGCAAATCTGTCATCACTGCTGTTGTCAGAACCTACAGGAAGGATGACGTCAGATGTAAAGTGTGACTTCTGAAGGAGTGCCCACTGGATAGCAGGGCTGTCACTTACTGTACTGGGTCCTTCCACAGCTCTTCCAGGCTTCAAGGCACCACCACCACTAGGCTTTAGTCCCAGAATCCACACAAGATGCTGACAATTAAAGCAAGTTTATAAAATTATAAAAATTCTAATAAAATCAGTGGTAATAGCTAGCAATAAAAATTAAAATTAGCAGTTTCTAATAATTAAAATGAAAAGAATTAGCCTCATTCATATAAAATAATTATAGCATGCAGAAGCAGTAGAATTTAGGGCATTGGAAGTAGTCCATTACTTCCTAAAACATTAGCCTTTTGTTTTATTTCTTCTCATCCTCTCCTTTGTCATACTATTAGGTGTATCTAAAGAACCAACAGGCATTGTTTATTTGTTAGCAATCATAAACCTAGAATCTGATGCTACAACATACCTGAAGAGTTGCCAAAACAAGTTGCCAAGATGTCCCGAGAACAGCACCATGACAGTGCGCCAAGTTAAGCAGCGTCCTCATACACTGGATATTTTTGGAAGTCAGCTATATTGAAAAAAATATAGATTTGCAGCAACTACTATAGAATCTTAAAAATTAAAAGGTTACAAATCAGCATGAATGCATTCAAAGATTGTCTTAAATAAAACCCAAAAATATTAAGAAAATAAGTTTGGATAGTTCCATAAAACACTAATTAGCCTAATTAAAAGTTGTGTTATCAGAGCTGGGAAAATGGCTGAGTAAAATGCTTGCCATGTAAATGTGAGGGTTGGAGTTCAGATCCCCATAACCCACATACATGTTGGGAGGGCATGGTGACTTGTCTGTAACTCCAGCCATCGGGAGGTGGAGACAGGCCTACCTAGACTAACAGGAGAGCTTCTCATACAAGAGAGTTAGGAACCCGGCATCAGAAGGTGATGTGGAGCAGCAGAGGAAGTGAGCAGATGACAATGTTTGGCTTCTACACACAAACACATGTACAGACTCACTGGCCTACACACATGTGCCAACATTTGTATATACATGTGAATACACACCACTTAAACATGCACAAAAGAAGTTATGTTGGTTATGGGAATGACAAAAAAATAGTTAACAAGTTTGTTTTGAAATATCCGTCAGGTAAAAGAAACTAACTAATAACATTTGGAAAGAAAAAGAAAGAAAGAGTAGAACAGGCCTCACTGACGTTCATCGGTAACCAATGAACCCCCAACACCCTGACTGCATTACCATTACTGTTCCTTGAGGCTGGACGGCCAGAGGCTGACCCACTGCCACAACTTGTTGGTGGGATTCACTGGATGGACTTATCATCATGACACTGTGGCCCTGGATAGAATATGCTAGAACAAAAAAGAAAGCCTTAATGCAAGATACTGCTTTTTGTCTTTTAAGGTAACATTATATCGTAAAATATTCATTTGAATAAAGCTCAACAGTAACAATTACACAGCAGTACTAGTTATCCAGATGCATGCAAACATCTGAAAACTCCTAAGGTACAAAAAAGAAGCAAATATAAAGTAATTTTCTATGTAAATTATTAAAATGATGAAATTTGGTAGCTCATTTATAAGCAAAATAAAATTAGAACAAATTAAATATTTTAAACATGTATCTATTTGTACTTTTCTAGTTAGAACCAAATAAATTTTGAGTGTGAAATCTGAGTAACAGATTAAATTAAAACCCAAGTGTTTTCAAAGTATTAGCCAAGAAAATAAGTTTTTGAAGGTTAGTGTTAAGAATCACTAAGCCAACTAGAAAAACAGCAATCATCATTTCAACAATGTATTATAGTTTACAAAGGAATGCCAGAATTGCATTACTTTATCTGCATAATTATTACTTAAAATTGCTATTACTATATTTTTCCTCTCTCCACCCCTTTTTCAACGAAGAGCAGAAAGAGGAGACTTCCTCTATGTGGCCACACTGGGTTCAGTGACCCTAAATCCCATCTCTCTCTTCCCTTTTACAGAGATAAAAAAAACTGCTTTAGGGGCTGGAGAGATGAAGAGCTCTTCCTGCTCTTCCAGAGGTCCTGAGTTCAAATCCCAGCGACCACATGGTGGCTCACAACCATCTATAATGAGATATGGTGCCCTCTTCTGGCAGGCAGGCAAGAACACAGTATACATAATAAATAATTACATCTTAAAAAAAAAAGAAAAAAGAAAAATAACTGTTTTAGCCAGATGGTCGTGGTGCACGCCTTTAATCCCAGCACTTGGGAGGCAGAGGCAGGTAGGTCTCTGAGGTCAAGGCTAGCCTAATCTACAGAGTGAATTCCAGGACAGTTACACAGAGAAACCCTGTCTTGAAGAAGAAAAAACAAAAGCAAACTAACAAACTATTTTAAAGAGGTGGACAGAATGGAAAGGCAGGAAAATGAGTAACACAGTCAATGCACAGGACAGCAGAGGCCTGAACTCGGGAGTCCTATCATCCTCGCTCTGCGCTGTGACATCCAGCTGGACGGAGAGAAAGCTGTACAGTTGAATTCTTACATTTATTGGAAAGTGTAGCTGCAGTGGTGGCATTCAATACGGTCAGAGCATAATGTGGAGGCAAGGACCCTTTGCAGATGGCGGTGATAAAGGCGTCCCTTGACGTGACAAGGCCCAGTCTTCCACACAGAGCGGCCATAGTCAGTTCAGCTTTTAAAATATTCTCAGTGGCAGCCTCATCTGTGCTGAAAAGATAAGGCATTTTGTTTATCCGATTATTTTAAGTTACACTTTAAAACATGACGTGGACTTACTTCGTCAGTGAGGTTTTAAGAAAAGCTAAAACCAATATACTTAGGATGGAACTTTATCCAATTAGCCTAATATTTAAAAAACTGAACTATGTAGTGTAATGCATACTTAGTTGGAAAAAAAGATAGAGAACTTAAAGATTTAACTAAAAATATTAAGCATTTTATTTATTTGTTTGGAGACAGGGTCTGTAATCCAGGCTTGCCTCAAACTCAGTGCAATTCAGCTTCCTCAGACTTCTAAGTGCTGGGACCACAGGCATGAACCACCACCCCTGCATCAAATATCTTAAAACCAGTTCATTCCGAGAGAAGCATCAAGCAAATTATCATCTTTGCAAAAGCAGTGGCAAGGCTTAGCATGATACAAGTGTTCTGTAATTTGAAAATGTATTTCTGATTAAAGCACTGTGACAATTCCAGTGGGAGTTCAGAGTAAACATGGCTCCAAGAGGGAGTGACAGAGAGTGACATTCTTAAAGAAATGCTGAGGTGACGATGGGAATAACTCCATCATGGCAGTGTGCACACGAATTATAATAATGCACAAGAAATGAAAAATGAGCAACAAAGCACTAAAATCATATAGAAAACTACAGATAGGAAATAAATTCTCTGGACAAATGAAATTAAATTTAGTGTTGGTGTTAACTGCAATGACGTGCCATAAAACTTACAAAGACGTAGTACCTGGCATCGAGCAGGAGGGAGAGTGCAGCGAGAAGACCACACCAGCAGGCACTCACCATCTCTTCCCAAACGGCTCTACTAACTTCAAAAGAAATACAATATTCAATCATGCTATACCTGCTACAGTGAACTGTCAATCTATAAAATTTAACAGTCTAGTAACAGCTTGGTTATTAGATACCAAACACTAATATTTAAAATATCCAAATAACAAAAATATAGAAGCTGTGATAGTTTCATAATAAAAAACTCTTAAAGTTAAGTTGTTTAAAACTATGCATTACAAGACACTTCAATACCTAATTTAACTAATACCTTTAAAAAATTCATAATGTCATTTCCTCTTCTCTAAGCCTTCAATAGACCAAACTGTCCTCTGTGTGATCAGCTGGAAATTAGTGCAGACTACTGTCTAGACTATCTGCTCAGCTAGAACACTGTTAGATGTGCTGAGCATCCAGCAAGTAAACACAGGAATAAAATGGCACTGGGTACCTCCTTGTTGGAGATGGGATTTAGAAATATATAAAGTTAAAATTGATCATGTAGAAATGAATCAGGAGCCGGGCAGTGGTGGCACACGCCTTTAATCCCAGCACTCAGGAGGCAGAAGCAGGCAGATCTCTGTGAGTTCGAGGCCAGCCTGGCCTACAAGAGCTAGTTTCAGGACAGGCACCAAAAACTACAGAGAAACCCTGTCTCGATAAAAAACAAAAAAGAAAAAAAGAAATGAATGAGGACTACAGAGACTTGGGCGATGCCTTTATATAAGGAAGCAGACATTTTCAAATCCAGATTTGCGGTATGTGTGCCTCTTCGCCAAGAAGCAAGAAGCACATTTACTGCCCACATGTCAGTCTCAGTACTATCTCAGGGCGCCTAGAAACTGACCGTCACCTGGCTGGACAAAAAATACCTGAGATGAGGGTTGAACTTGTGTTACACTGCAAGGGTACCAAGAAAGCATCAGAAATGTCAAAAGAACACCGCCCAGCTTCACAAGCCTTATCTGAGCACCACACTAAAACCAACAGTGATTGAATGTAATTCTTGGAGTCAGTAAAAATCCAGCTTTATTCAAAAGTGAACATTTCCAAAAATGAGACAAATTGGTATTTTTGCTTCCACATATATTGATAAATCAAATCAGAAGCTAAATTAAACACAGTAAGTGCCCTGTCCTAATCTTAGAAATGAATAAAACAATTTGGGATATATCCTTCTAAAATTTCAAGTTCATATAAAACCAGAACTAAAGAACTGTGTTCTACAGTGCAGGAAAATATTCATATACAGCAATAAATTCAACAAACAAGGAAGCACAAGGAAAAACACTGTGACAACTGGCAAAAATTTATATGAGATCAGGGCTTAGATGAAATATTGGATTGACCCTAATTTCTGCTAGTAACTGCATCAGAATGGGGAGAACTATAATCAGTTCTAGAAATGCATATCCAAATAGTAAGGGGTAGTGGGACATCCTGTCTAGAACCTAATCTCAAATAGTTCAGTGGTGTGGGAGGTCCTTCTGTCTATGTGCTGCTTTTATTGGTTAATAAATAAATAAACTTCCTTGGCCTATGATAGGGCAGAATAGAGCTAGGCAGAGGAAACTAAACTGAATGCTGGGAGTAAGAAGGTGGAGTCACAGAGACACCATGGAGCCACCAAAGGGAAAAGACAAAAGATACAAGCTGCCAGTCAGAACCTTGCTGGTAGGCCACGAACCTCATGGTAAAATATAAAATAATAGAAATGGGTTAATTTAAGGAATAAGAGTGAGATAGAAATATGCATAAGCTAATAGGTCAAGCAGTGCTGTAATTAATACAGTTTCTGTGTGATTGTTTTGGTTCTGGGCAAACGAACAAGTGGTCTCTCTCAACAGTTCAGAAAAGAAGATAGTGGTATGTATACAAATAAAGGGGAAAGTAATACCAACATGATAAAGTATTAATAACTGGGCAGTAAAGGCAAATGATAACACAGGAACATATCTCTATATTCTCCCTAAACTTCAAACTACTGAAAAGTAACTAAGGCAGGCAGAGAATCATAGCATACCTGTCTCCTTATCTGCCTGGTCCGACCCTGACTGCACGTCCCGCTGCTCTGATGACTCAGAGTGTGTTTCTTCAATGACAGCAGGACACGCGGTTTCAGCCTCTCCTAACTCTCCTTCTATCATAGTGGTGATTCCACGGACAAGATCCAACAGACAGTGGAAAGCCACAGACATAGCATAGCCTTCTGGTATAGTTGGAGGTTCCACTTTGTCCAGCATTTCTAGGCTAAAATCACAAAAAAATTAAGGCACTAATGAAAAGACACAGGAAAGAAAACATAGAAAGCTATTTCCATAAGTTGTAGACTCTAAAAATTACTAACAGGAAGACAAAATAAAGGGATATTCCTGAGCTTGTTTGATTTGGAGCAGGATTCCCTTCAGTGTTTTAAACTGATTAGAAAGGCTGAAGATGGCTCAGGGGATAAAGGTGCTCACTACCAAGTCTGATGATCTGAGTTTGATCCCCTGATCCACACAATGAAGGAGGAAACTGACTCCTACAAGCTGTCTGTCCTCTAATTTCCACACGTGTTATGGTGCACACATGTATGCACACACAAACAATAAATGTATTTTTTAACGTAAAAAATGAATATAAAAATGAAGGACTGACTGCTACCATAACTTCTTTTTGAGATGTGTTGATATCTTCACTACTTTTGATATGCAATATAAAAACTAACATAAAATATATTAAAACAGTACAATGCTTCTCAAACTCTTACTTTTAAGATAAAGTGTCATAAAAAATAATATAATAAAACAAAATAACATACAAAGAGGAAGATGATTTTACGTCAGAGAAAATATAACTAAGATATCCAGGTCATTAGTGACCTCAGAGACAGCCAATGTGCAAATAACACTGAAGGACATCTGTGTGAAGTTCAAATCTACTACATAGGAGGAATTGTTCAGAAAGCAAGACAATAAATCTTATGTTCTAAATTAGGACAAATGAGGAATTATAGTTCTAAATCCCTCCAAATGGTTCCTTCTCAAGCTAACAACACAAAGAATGAGTAATTCAACTGAAAAGAATTAATGACATTGGGCTAATTATATTCACACCCAGAGAAAAAGAGATGTTAGATCCTACCTCTAGTATATAAAACTAGCTCAAAAAAATCAATGATCTAAATATAAAAGAAATTACAAAACTCCTAGAGACATAAGCATAAACTTTCATAAGATTATGCAATAGTTAGATATAATACTAAAAAAAAAAAAAAGTCAAAAAATGAGGTGAAATGACTGTCCGAATTTAAAGCCCTGTGCCCTGCAGTCTGCAGCAGGAGAAGGAGAACTTACAGAGCAGCAGCTCCCACAGACCCTGTGGACAACATGCCCTAAAGTACATGTCCTTCTAGTTTGGTCTTTTTGCTGCAATAAAACATGATGACTAGAAATAACCAGAAGAGAAACGGATCTCACTGACTTCTTAAATATTGAAAATACTTTTTCTCATACACAGAGTCCTGAAATTCAGCTATACAACAATTTTCATCTCATACACTGGAAAAATTAGTTTAAAGAAAGATGAATTTGCCAAAAAGGGAATTTAATTTTGGAAGAGCTATGTCCAAGAGGTCTAAAAATCAAGTCATATAGTTAACTAAGAAGCTACATAAACAACCAAGTCAATTCTTAGGTAGATAAATTCATATTTCTGCTTTATAATGCTATTAGCAGCCTACAAAAAGAAGAAAACAAAATTCAGTCCTGATTAAAATCCTTAAAACATAACAAAAGAAAGCTCCAAAATGTATAAGCGACATTAATATAATCTACACAGAAGTATTTTAAATATCATCATCAGTACTATTTATTATAAAACAATGTTGACACTACTTACTAGGTGGCTTTCGCACTGCCTTGAACTGTAATAGTCAGGATAGGTATCCAAGTTCCTCTGTATTCAAATGCTGGTAGCAGAGTAACACCTCCACCAATCCCCACCATTCCTGAGCTGGCTGGCGCTGAGACTGGGCCACCAGCATTATTGTTTCCTATTAGACAAGGAGGAAAAGCAAAGATATCAATTTATTGGTTGATTATAAGTCAACAAATTCCAACACCTACTCAGACTTTAAAGACTATGTTATGAAAACAAGTGTAACACCTATAAAAGATGTTCATAATTCTCTTTTACCCAGAGAACCTATTCCTTTACAACAATTATTTTAAACATAAAAATTACTAAAGAGCCTAGGCAGTTAGGTCTACTGGTAAAGTGTTTATCACATAAGCATGAGGACCTGCGTTTGCTCCCAGTACCATATAAGATTTATACATATGTCCCAAAGAAAATAGTGGAAGCTAGTTTATACTGAACCATAGTAAATGAACAAACCCCAGCAACTTAACAGAGCAGCTCCAATATGAATAAACTGATGGATATACAGGAGTGCCTGAGTTTACACCCCAATACCCACAAAACACCTGGGCTTGGTGATGCACACTTACAACCCCAGCACTGGGGAGACAGAAATTGGCAGATCCCACTGGCTTGCTAACCTGCCAGACCCGCCTGCTCAATGAGCCCCAGGTCCCAGTAAAAAAAAAAAAAAAAAAACAAAAAAAACAAAAAAAAAACCTCTCAAAATACAAGAAGGACAGTCCTAGGAAATGACAACAAGGTTGACCTCTGGCCTACATACACACACCGGTCTGTGCCTGCACATATAAAACACATACACAGTTATAAGAACAAACTTAGACTTCTTCTGGAAAGTGAGAATGAAGAGCTAAAAGGCCATTCACCAGGTAGTTCAAAGTAACAGTGAACACACAGAGGAAAGAGAAGCCATACTGATTTCCAAACAAACTCAGATCATGTTAGACAACTTCTACTAAGAGATGAAAAGACGTCCTAAAAGATTAAATGTCCAGACTCTTTAAAAGGATCCAACAAAGACTTTTTCAAAAATAAACTAGTTTGCCGTGGTATGGTCAAATTATTCTTTAATATTTAAAAACTCTTTACTCTCAGCACACTCTGGTGTTTCCAGTTTGTACAGATACAGACTTCTCTCCTAACAGTGAGTATTGGAGACAGAGGGAGAAAATGAAGACAAATCTGAACACGACATTACCAGCTTGGTTAGCTGCAGCAGGGTTTCCAGTAGGAGGGACGAGAAACAAAGACTGAATAAAAGACCCCAGCGCATTCACAATGTCACGGAAGACCTTGGTGGAATGCTGCTTCATGTCATACGACTGACAAAATGACCTGTGAAGAAATTTTAAACATTCTGGAAAGGCATTTGACTGTATTATAGTATTCACATTTTATATAGTAAATATAAATGATTGCTACTATTACAATCCTATATTTGGTGTTACCCATCACACCTGAGTGGTTTCTCTAATTTGGATAGAGACAAGGGTTTAGATTCAACTCAAAAGGAAACAAAGATAAATAAATAAATAAAAATAATACTGGCTGTATTTGCTTAGCAGATGATGGCAATCATTTCCCAAGCTTTCACCTGGTGTGGCAAACACGCAAACACCATTTTCTTTGAGAAGCATCGCTAACACTTACAAATAGGTACAGCGCTCTTCTAAACTCAGCAGTAATCAAGCTAGCCATCAGACAGAAGACTTTACCTTAACAAGTGAGGCTGCACACAGAGCCTGTGTATCGATTCCACGGCAACAGCTCGAAGCCACTGTGGCTTATCTGCATCCAGAAACTTCACCAGCAGTGACAGAAATATTTCACACTCGGTTACCTAAAAAGAACAGGAGGTTTAAACATTTCGTTGAGTCAAAAAAAAAATGATAATAATGCTGTCAAATCACCTTAACTGGGATAAAACGGTAAATAAGAAGAGTTAGATGGAAACAGCTGCAGCTTCTCGAACATCTTTCTGCAGCACTGATGAGCTCCAACCCTTGGCTTTGGAAAACATGGTACACATCTTGTCTCTAGTCCTACAAACTGCCCGCAGATGTATGATCTGCACCTCAGTAATACTCTACATGTTATACAACTGGATTCCTAAAAAGCAAAGGGGCAGTTTAGTGTGATGGTGCCAGCCTGGGTTACAACAGCAAGACCTGTTGTCTCAAAAAACAAAAGAACGGAAAAACAACGAGAAACCTGCAGCAGCTGACGGACACACAGACACAGGCAGGCGAGTCACTTAGCACAGGGCCTAGTGCTTTAGCCACCGCAGACTGTATTATTAACAACTTCTCTATATAAAAGACAATGGCTAAACCATCCATGATTTACTGAGTGACAAACAAAATGAACCAAGATAAAGGTAAATGAACTACTCCTGTTACTTCTCTGTCTGGAAGGTAAAACAACGCTGACTTTGAGATTACTGAGTCAAATGGACTCCTGGTGAGTGCAGCTAGTAGCGCATGTTTTGGCTGTGGATGCCCCAAAAGGAGGCAAGAAACTGGGGAAATAGAGTAGCCTTCAAGATTTTAGCCTCAACAATCAGGAAAGAGAGACAGTTAGATCTCTGCGAATTCAAGGCCAATCTGGTCTTCATATCTAATTCTAGGACAGCCAGAAATAAAGTATTTTAGTGCCAAGCCTTAGCTACTGGTGTTTTCTAATGCCTCCCAGTATCTTTATTAGGTGCTTAAAAGTAGGATGTAACCATAAGGATAAGAGAAGCAACTTCCCAAGAGAAGGCAAAAAAAAGGGGGGTAGATTATTATGATAGAAAAAAGAGAGTAGATTATCAAATCTACTTTAATAGAAAAAAAACAACAGTTAATCTCAAAATATTTTCCACTGGTATGGATTTTGGTTTACTGATACAAATTTAAAGTTAATCTTCTTATATGTATATTTCTACCCTTTTTTAAGGTATTATGTTTATGCAACTCATTTTAAAATGTAGTAAATAACTAAGAAATACAGATTAATAGTCATCTATAATAGTCAAACTTATAGTCATCTTATGTATACAGAGATATATTTCAGATAGGTATTCTTCAAACATTTCAAAGACCTACAGAATATGACATTTAAAATGTTTTAATAACTTAGACTTTTCATGACAATGAGACACATCTGCTCCTGACAGCACCAATGTATCCAGAGAAGAAGACAGGCACTGAAGAAACTCCATATGGAGTTTTTTTTTCTCTATGGCAAAAGCTAGCCATATGCGCAAAGAAACTGCCCTTGCCTCAATTGCTAATTGTCTAAGCTGGACAAGCAGGACACAAGATATATAACTGTCAAACTTTGCCAAGACAAGGCAGGATGGTCCTTCAGAATTCCCTGCTTCACAGGAAAGTTTATCAAATATAGTAGGCCTATAGGCCAAAGTTAGATGCTCCAACATACAGAGAAACTTTGGGTGACTGTCAAGGCATTAGATAACACTTCATCCTTCTGGTGTCTTTGATGGACTCGAAGACTAGATAGTCAGAGTTACAATTTTTCTTAGTTGATGAAAGGATAAACTAGATATAAAACTTTAGACTCATCAAGATAGGATGGATAATTAAATGTTTTCTCTGACTTTGTCAAATGCAAAGATTTGATAACTTTTATTGTATATAATTTTACTATGTTACAGTTGAAACTTTCCTTTTTGATTAGACAGAAAAGGGAAAATGCTGTGGGATAATCCTCTGTGCACTGCAAATATGCATTATTCTCATTGGTTAACTATAAAGCTGACTGGCCTATAGCAAGGCACGATAAAGTTAGTCAGGACAACCAAACTGAGGACTCAAAGAAGGGCGGAGTCGAGGCTGACACCAGTGAGCCACCCAAGAAACAAGATGCTAGAGGACAGATAAAGACATGAACCATGTGGCAATACATGGAGTAATAGAAACGAGCTAAATTGTAAGAGATAGGAATAAGACTGAGCTATTGGCCAAGCATTTATAATTAATATGAGTCTCTGAGTGATTATTTGACAGTGGATGTGGGACAAGGAAATTATTATCTACAGGTCTGGGGTATAGAAAATCCTGTCTTACAAAAGCCAAAATTATGCAGGTGGAAGTTCAAACATCAGATAAATGTTTGACAACATCAAGCACACATGGCAACCACTGGCTTAAGTGCTAATGGGTTTGTCAGTGACAAATCTTTAGAGAAACGTTAGCACTGAAGTGAAACATTGGGGCTAGTGAGGTAACTGAGTCAATACACTGCTTTCTGAGAAAAACCCAAGTTCAACCACCTGTACCTACATTAAAAAAGCAGGGTGCAGTGGCTCATGTGATGTCTGTAACCCCAGTACTGGGGTGGTAGAGACAAGTGGATCCCAAGAGATGGGTGGGCAGCCAGCCTAGTCAAATTTTTGAAGCCCAGGTTCAGTGTGAGATCCTTTTCAAAAGGTAAAGTGGAGGGGGCTGGAGAGATGGCTCAGAGGGTAAAAGCATTGCCTGCTCTTCCAAAGGTCCTGAGTTCAATTCCCAGCAACCACATGGTGGTTCACAACCATCTGTAATGAGGTCTAGTGCCCTCTTCTGGCCTGTAGGCGTATAAGCACAAAGACTACTGTATACATAATAAATAAATAAATATTTTTTTAAAAAAAGGTAAAGTGGAGAGACACTGATGGAGACATCTCATGCCCACCTCTGACCTGCACACACGCACAGAAAACATATACACTCACAGAATACACCAGAAACACACAAAAAAAGTGTAATTAACAATTAAGTGAAAGGGAGCTGGGTGTGGTGGTGCACATCTTTAGTCCTAGCACTTAGACGGCAGAGGCAGGCTGATCTCTGTGAGTTCAAGGCCAGCCTGGCCTACATAGTGAGTTCCAGAACAACCAGGGTTGTTACACAGGGAAACCCTGCCTCAAGAAAAAGAAAAAAAAAAAGGTGAAAGATTAAATTGGATACGTAATTAAAAACCCATTCTTTTCTTCCTAAAGGAAATCAAGGTCAGAATAGAGATATGATAGCCACTTTAAGTTAAAAATTAATTAATTCTTATAAACCCTTTAAGGGCACCTTAAGAAAAATGGATTTGGGCAGACACTGTTAGTGATCCAAAAGACAAAGACGTACTCAGGTCAGAAGTTAAAGAAAGTAAAGTACAGGATATATTTTAACTCAGTCTCCTCTACTCCTCTAGTACCTGAAGAGACTAACTGACAATCACTCACCTTCGCCTCTCAGCAACCTGAAAAGCTGAGCTAGTGAATAGTGGGAACAAAGTGGTTGTTGAACACCTTGGGGTTCCCTGAGACCATGTGTGGGAGTGTGGGAGGTCAGACATATTTTCATAATACTATTATGATTTGTTATTTTCAATGTACAAAAGCATTAGTATTAGAATGCTTGGCAGGAATCATGGAAGCAAAATCAAATTGTACCAGAATCATCTTCACTGCCTTATACAGTTAAAGATGCATATATATAATATTCTAACATATATATGTTTTATCAAAAAACAATCTGATGCTTAATTTCTACTGCTAACTTGATTGAATAAACACCTAGGGCATTCATGGCGTGCACATTTGGGTTCACGTATGAGAATCCCAAAGAGAATTAACTAAGGAGAGTTCACCTTGCATGTGGGTGATACCTCTAACAAAAACTGGGAACCCGGATGGAATAAACAGGGGAGATGGAGGAGGCCTGAGATCAGAAGTATGGTCACTGCTTCCTGGCTACTGTAAAGTAAGCAGCCTTTGTGACATCCCCCACAATCGTTGACATTTCTTCCTAACTCAGGCTCCAAGTAATCCAATCAACTGGCTAAGGATCAAAACTTGTGAAACCTGAGCCAAAGAGTAAGCTTTCCCTGCTTTAAGTTGTCAGAGAGACAAGTCGCTAACACACACTGCATGCAGTTACATGTACAAACTAACACTTACCAAAAGGCTATAAAACTGCTTGATCAGAACAGACACCACTCTCAGCAAACGCATGCAGATGGGAAAATACGGTTTTTCAACTGGTGCTGGAGAAGATGAAGTGCTGGAACCTTGTCTGAATTTTATATTTGGAGAAAAGAGCTTGATCACAAGAGGGCATACTCTTTCTTTGAGGAGGAAACTGAATTCCTGATGCTGTTTGCAAAGGAAAAGAAGAATTCACTTAGTTTGCAGCATCCTTCCAAGCATAGCCATGCTAACTTTAGAACGGACATCACGCAGTCTGCTCACGCTCCTCCACCTTTGCTTATTCCCTCCTATCCTCAATAAGTCTCCCTTCCCTTCTCTTTACAAATCTCTTTCCCATATCCATTGCTTTTTCTTTTGCTTGTTCCCCAAAGACTTTTAACTAGTACCAATTGTGTGCTCTGGTTTGAAAATATCAATTAGAGACTGGACACTCACTGCTGAGTATACAACTGGATGCGACACCTGCCCCTCTCCCAGAATCTGACCATTGCCAATCAGTAAGGTCTCATGCAGCTCTTACCATAACTTAAAGGCTTGAAATGTGCACTGTTCTTAAATGGACTAAACACAAATTGGAAATATTTCAAGAAGATTCTGTTAAGAAAAGGCTTATTTGGGGGGTGGGAGAGATAATTTCACTGATTAAGAGCACTGGCTCTGATTCTGATTTTAGATTTTGAGCCCAGATTTGGTCCCCAGAACCCACATAGTAGCTAACAACCATATCTAACTCCTGTTATAGAGCTGATGCCCTCTTCTGGCCACCATGGACACTGCATGCATGTGGTACACAAACATACACTCAAGCAAAACAGCCTTGCACATTAAAAAAAAAAAAGAGATGGAGAGAAAAAGAAACAGCTTTACTTTCACAACTCTAGGATTGGGAAAATCTGCCTAAATCGTTTTCTAAGGTTTACTCTAATAAAATTTTAAAATGTTGGGGGCAAGGAAGATGACAGGAGGAAGACAGACCAATAAAAAACAGAAAATTACTAAATGAAAAGAATGAGGATAACCCAGTGCTCAGGAGACTGGGGCAGCTGCACTTGTAAACCCTTGTCCAAAAAGAACAAAAATACTACCAAGAAAATCATACCTTAAATTCTCAAAGAGAGAACAAACAAATGTCACAAAGTAGTTTTGTTTGAAGCCCAAGGCTATGCTTTTGCATCTTCAAACATGGAAAAAAAAATCCATGCTTATTTCTTGACTTGACAAACACCCATGATTAGCTTACTTGTAAGAAGACCTGTGGGAAGGCACTGAGGACTGACTCCAGCAGCTCCAGGCCAAAAGTCCGAGTCATCTCGGTCATGCCTACGAGCCAGTAAGGGGCGTCGGCATTAACCAGCTGACAAAGGTCCTGGGAAGTAAACAGTATCATGGGTTACAATAAAATATGCTTCCAGAACTCACAGTTTATGAAACTACAGCAAAACAAACCTACTTTTCTTAAAAATTAAGCAGCAGTAATTCAAATTTTGACAAATTATACATTCAAAAGATTTCAGTTAAATCTCTATAGAAGCATGTAACTATAGACAATAAGCAGATAACTATAGGCAAGCATTAATATTATTTAATAAAGAATAAACTTCTAATCTTACTGGACTTAAAATGATTTAGTCATGCCAAATCAGGTAAGATTTTTGTATACCGGATTACATTATGTAGACAGCAAATTTATTACATAAACTTTTCTCACTAAAGGAATGTTTTTATAGGATTAGTCATCCCTAATATACTTATGTTTCTAGTTCTGAGTTTCATCTCCCTTCCTTACAGTGAGCCCCAGCGTTCCGCTGCTGTCAGATTCACAGTCGGGGCAGAGGTCTTTCTTCAGTCTTTAGAGCGACTTTAATACAAACTCTGACTATTTAATAGTTTTTTGCATCAGAAATTATATCAGACATAAATTCTAAAATAACACATATTACGTTTGTCAACTGAAATACCTGGAAAAGCATATATGCATCTTTAGCACAAGGCTTCAGGGTGCTGACAGACCTTCGGTTACTGTTTCCTTGGACCAGCACTGGTGGTTCTATGTCTGAAATCAAAACAGGCCAGGGATGGAAGGGACTTCAAAATGACCTTAGCAAATCATATGCTGAGTTTAAAATTTGTTCTTCTTATATAACCATAATCTAATAATTTCATACCTATGTCTCCAAAGTGAAAAATTGATATTTTATATAAAATATCGCAAGAATTACTCTCCATTTTCTTACATACATTTTAACAAGTTTATTACTTTTATTTATATATTTGATTTTCCCAGTCTCTTATTTGTCAGTTCTTTTATCACATGATCTCTAAGTCTGTAATAAATATCAAACATAAAGTTCACCATATAACCATTTCCCCTGCCTTTTCTTAGCTCCCAAAAGATGAACGGCTTGACCTGCCCCTGTAGCTGTGAGTCATGGCTGCACCAGCTAAGAGTCAGCTGCAATGGTTTGCCCTGCTCACAGCATTTGTTAAACACTATTATGACTGGGACCATTCTCTGGGCTGATGACATAGTCTGTGGGCAAAGGTGGCTGATGCCACACCTGAAGATCCGAGTCTGCTACCCAGACAGTAGAAAATAAGAGCTAATTCTCACAAGCTATCCTCTGACCTCTACATATGCACATACATACACACACACACACACACACACACACACACACACACACACACGTAATAGTTCTGGGTGTTGTTTTCTTGTTTTTGTTTTGTTTTTGTTTTTAAAGACAGGGTTTCTCTGTGTAGTCCTGGCTGTCCTGGAACTTGCTCTGTGTACCAGGCTGGCATTGAACTCAGAGATCCACCTGCCTCTGCCTCCTGAGTACTGGGATTAAGGGCACATGCCACTACTGCTGGGCTATATTTTTCTCCAAAATAATATTTTTGCTGATGACATTTATTTATGTATGTTCTTTATGTATATGGTGTTTTGTTTGATGCAGAAGAGTACATCAGATCCCATGGGACAACAGTTACAGATGGCTGGGAGCCACCACTTGGGTGCCCTTGTGAATTGAACTCAGGACCTCTGGAAGAGCAGTCAATGGTTTAACTGCTGAGCCATCTCTCCATCCCCAATAGATTTTTTTTAAAGATATCATTCTTTGTAAATTATGGCAGCCTTTAAGATTTAAGTGTTGATTTAATAATAATTGAAAGTGGTTTTGGTATTTTTTCTATGTTCTATTAAAATAGAAAGTAGCAAATGGTATTTCAGCCTTTAGAGAAACATGGCTAAAAATACTGCTCCACGAATTACATCAAAGTTATGAATATAAGGCATTTAAACTAGAAAACTGTCCTATGCTTACCACGATTCTGAATAATTCCCTAACATTTCAGACTACTGGAACTGTACTTGTACTTCCCAAAGAGAAATGCAGGACAATTAGGTACCAATGCCAGCAGAAACATCCCGAAAACCAACAGTGTACAATGGTCGATCTAAATGCAAAGACTTGAGTTAACAGTCAGGTCAGGGAAGGTAGAGTAATAAAATAGTGAATCATTTATTTATTTACTTGGGTTTTTGAGACAGGGCCTCTCTGTATGTAGTTCTAACTATCCTGGATCTCATAGAGACCCGCCTGCCTCTGCCTCCTAAGAGCTTGTATTAAAGGCATGTGCTAACATAACGTGCCCAGGTGAATAATTTATTTTTAATTGCCATCATTTTTTAAGTGTCATATAGTAATGTGTATATGTGTATATATATGTTACATATGTTTGTGTGTACATATACACTACACCTGATATGGTTAATATCAGTTGTTAACCTGACAAGATTGAGAATCACTGAAGAAGCAAATTCCAGGGCACATCTGTGAAGGACTGTCTAGATTAGGGGAAATCCATCATAAATGTGAGCTGCACCATTCCAGAAGCTCTGATCCCAAACTCAGTGTTTATCTATTCATGCCCCGAGTGCAGTGTGCTCACCTTCCACACCTGCTGCAGCGACCTTCCTGCCACCATGGGCTGTACCCCTTCTAACGATAAACCGGGATAAACCCTCCCTTCCTTGAGCTGCATTTGGCAGGGTATCTGCCAAGTTAATAAACAAGTAAAGGAACTCATCACCCATGAACATACATGCAGATACACACATACACTATATACATGTGTTTATATCTATGTGCATACATGTGTGTAGAAGTTTTCAAGTGTTGAGACTGTATCTTGCTGGCCTCAAGCCTGGGGTCCTGCAGAGCTAGGGTTATAGATGTGCACTAGCACATTCATCTCCAAAGGAGGGTAGATTTTCTAGCTTTGGGGCATTACTAGTTCACAGAGTAAAAGCTAAAAATGAATGAAAATTAAATCTCGTATCCAAGACCCCGCTCACAGACAAGAAGGAAGCGATGTCACCACTTTACCGCTGTGCCGCTCGTCTTCGGCCACCATCCTCTCGAAGACGACGGTTACCACCTGCCGTACTGTAGCAGCAGCTGTGTTGTTTGTGATATTGTCCTTTGTGAAGTGGAGTCGAAAACAAAGAACAATCGCCTAGGAAAAAAATTCCTTAGTGTGAAGCAAAACTGAAGAGCATGGATACTAGCCTGTCAGATGAGCCACAAGTAAAACAATTTGTTTCAGTTAGACATTAAAAATCCTACCCTTTTATAAAATAAAACTTAAAAAAAAATTGATTTCAAAATAATTCAGTCTCAGTAAATACATAGCTATGTAAAATTAGATAAAAGTTTGAAATACGTGTTTCCAAATGTAGTTAATTTAATGTGTTTTAAAGTACATCATGAAGCCAGACAGTGGTAGCACATGCCTTAGTTCCAGCTAAACAGGCAGAGGCAGGCAGATCTCTGTAAGTTCAAAGCCAGCCTGGTCTACCAGAGCTAGTTCCAGGACAGGCTCCAAAGCTACAGAGAAATCTTGTATCAAAAAACCAAAACAAATAAATAAAAATCAACTTTATTATTAAGAAGACTCTATAGACTAAGCTGTATCCCTTAATATCTTAAGGTATATAATTTCATGGGTTCTGCCTGACCCAAATGAACATAATCATGGTGCACATTTTATCACCCCTAACATTTCCTTGTGCATCTCTACATCCAGTTCTTCCTCTCCTTGAGTCATGGGTAATTGATTTTTTTTAACTGTTGATCATCTAGCATTTTCTACAATTTTATATAAAAGATTCAAGTATTACAGTTTATGTCTTGCTTCTTTCATTCAGAACCCTATTCATGGAGTGTGTATGTGTGCTGTCCTGTGTACTGGTATGAGTTTCCTTTTTATTACTGAGGAGATTCCACCGTATGGCCACACTTAACCATTTATCTGTTGAGGGACATCTGGATAGTTTTCAGTTTGGTGCTGCTCTGACTGAGGCTGCTGTGAATATTCAAGTGTAGGTCTCTGTGAAGACAGTCATTTTTATTTACACTGAATAAATACCTAGGAATGGCATGGCTAGGTCAGTGTAATGCAGGTTTACTTTTTTTTTTAAGAAACTGATATTTTTCTAAGGTACAATTTGCTATTCTGTGTGTGCGACCTCAGAACTATTCCATCCTCAGCAATATTTGGATTGGTGGCTTTTGCAGAGTGTCTGTCTGTTCAACAGAAATATTTCATGATTTAAGAACTTCAAGAGCTGACTACATAATAGAATTATTAATATTCCAAAGAGGGTGGGAAAAGGGAAAAAATAAAATCCAGATATGAAAGTTTACCCAGTATAAATGTTCAAAGAAGTTTTTAGCCACTTAAAGAGACAAGTTTGAACTGTTAATTTACATAATACATACATGCAAATTAGCTTCAATACAGAAGGATCAAGGAACAATTACAGAGAAATACTCAAGCCAACAGGATTCAAGGCATTTTCCTCCCCCTACTTCCTTCTCCACCTGCTCTACATCTTCTACTCTTCTTCACCTACTACCCATCACTAAGGAGCGGCAACCTAACCTGACGTCCTCTAACACCCGTGCTGATCATCAAAATAACTGCACAGAAGTTAGTTGGTCTTTGTCCCAAAGAACTAGGCTTTTCTCTTTTAATCAGCTTATTCAAACACTACCTCAAGCATTATAAATACCAATTAAATATGTTTCTTACCTTGGACAGTGCCTCATCATGAACTACTGTGTTGGTCGTTAGGAGAACAAGAACTGTCTGAAGCAGCTTAAGTTCTTCAAGGCTATTTTCCATTAGCTGCCAAAGCATGTTAATTATGTTTCCAGCAGCAGTCTGTGAATCAGAAGATGAAGCACAGAATCAACTCAGAGCTGAGAGATGATGGAGAATATATTCATAGAAATATTATTATTGTTTTCCATCATCAAATTAGATACAAGCAAAATACTTACATTTATGAGCAATATATTATCAATTTAGATAATCTACATTTTAAAATATGAATTATATTAAATAACTATTCTGACACTGAAAATTGGCTTGATGCTAAAATCAGCACCTGTACCACGGAAATATGCCTTCTTAGATGACAAGGAATTCAATGAAATGTATTTATTTAATCTTGAACGCTAACTTTATTTTTAAATTACTTTGCTTTCATAACCCTACTTCACAGTAAATAGCAATTGTGCTTCACTCTTCCCCATGCAAGCTACTAATAGGGTTCAGGTAAAATCTTCATCCTACCTCAGACACCACCTCATGGGACATGAGTCTCTGGATGGCGGCCAGACACAGCTGAGTGATCTTTGGCTCCTTGGTCCCACACCCCATTAGGAAAGGCTGCACGACTTCAGAGCTGTTCTCTTTCAATGCTTTATTCAGAAAACATGTAAGGTAAATTACTGGATCTACTGATAATTAGGAATATCTGTCTACATATTTATAACCTATTATGATTGTTTTGATGTAAAATAAACATCCAAATAGAAACAAGTGATAAAAATTCAAGAACTCCAGATAGTAAAATCTTCTCACTCACAGGCTTCCCAGACTTTTTCTACCATGGAATTTTGGGGGCCTTCCCCATCTGCTATATACTCTTTGAGGACATGGATTCTCACAAGTTCAGAAATTATCATTTCTTCATGTTGTATAGAAAGAAAATAATATAAATTGTATTAGAGAGCAGAAATATATACATCAAGTCCTCCATAGTTTCTTGGCACTCGAGATTATTTGTATATGCTGTAAATGTTTATAGCTCTAATTTCAAGAAATAAACACATTTTGAAATAATAGCAATATTCTTCTTATTATGGGAAGAGCATTTTAAATTAATTACTTGAATACACAAACTTTTATTCCAAATCTTAATTTAACTTCTACCAACTCTATAAGTTTTAAAGTAGCAACAATAATGCAGCTTAGAATTTATACAACTGAATTCAATTAAGCAATTACATTTATAATATGAAATTAAAAACTTGCTTAAAGGCAAAAAAAGAGAAAACAAGTTTGTCACATTCAGAGAAATTAAATGGCATGGAATTCTGAGTAAAGAGAGTGTTAAGCTTAGGAGTCTGGCAGCTGTTTTCAAGGAACTAAAGCTCATTAACTAACCAACCACGTGCATATCTGAATCAGAAGTGTTTTCTCAGGAGAATTTGGGAAAAGGTCATTCATAATCACTACTGAAAATGGAAAAACCACCCCAGCCTTTTTTCTTTCCTTGTGGTATTTGTGGTACCATATATGAATTCCCTCTTATAGAGCAGGCCTCAAAATCAGAGAAGAGTCAATTTCACCCTTAACAGTTGTACCCTATTGCACAGCTAGGCACAGCTTGCCTGGAAGACTGGCATTGCAGACTGTAGAAGTCTCAGCTAGGAGGAGACCACTGGTGACTTTTCTTCCCCAGCAGTCTATACAGCACCTTCCAGAACAATGGTAGCTAGCCAGAAGAGAAGCTTCCAGCTCAGGGCCAGCTTCATTCATACATCACATCCAAAGGGTGTGTGTTTTCACCATCAGGTCTTATCAACTAGCTCTGGTGGGCAACCAAAAACAGTGGCAAGAGCCAGTATTGTTTTGGGTGCCTCTGGGGGCTCCCTGACAAACAACTCATAAGGAGGATTCTCACACCTGGCACTGGGGTTTTTGTTTAATAACCCTGTGCTTTTAGAAGCAAAATTACCTAGACATTTAAGGTATCTCCCTTCTAACTCTCTCAGTGATATTTTTTAATTGCCTTATAAACAGTAAGTTTCCATATGGGTTCATGCATCCTTATTTTTGGTCAACCTTGATCTCTTTCCTCCCCCATGTCCTATTCCTGCTTGCAGCCCATTCTTCAAATTCTTCCCCTGTCATCTATGTTCAGCTATCCTCCCTCCTTAACCTCTACCCAAATGGACCCTTTTTAGTTTCCTTACACCAGCAATTCTCTACCTATGGGTCGAATAACCTTTCACAGGAGTTGCCTAAAGTCACCAGAAAACAGATATTTACATTACAATTCATAATAGTAGAAAAATTACAGTTACGAATTAGCAACAAAATAGTTTTATGGTTGGGAGGTCACCACAACATGAGAGCTGTATTAAAGGGTCACAGCGTTAGGATGGCTGAGAACCACTGCCTTATAGAGAAACCTCAGGTTAACCACACAAATCTAAAGATTTGAAGCTAGGATCCATGAGAGACAGAACATGTGGCATTTGTCTTTTAAACCTGGGTTACTTCTTGCAGTACAATTTTTCTTTCTAGTTTTCATCCATTTACCTGCAAATTTTGGTTAGTTTTTTAATTACTGTTTAACTTAGTATTTTTGACACTTACCCAATATATAACAGTATTTTTATAATATGTACGTATCCTACCAAATGAATTTTAGTTTGATATTCTTTCACTTTAAGTCTTTGAGAATTTCATACATGTATACAATGTTTTGTTTTTGTTTGTTTTGACAGTATCAACCCGCCACTCTCTCTCCAACTCCTCCCAATTTTCCCCTTTTCCTCTTCCCCTCCCAACTTCATACCTCCTTTCAAAGCCCACTGGTTGAAATCAATTCTGTCTTTATGTCCTGGGTGTAGGACTGCCCACCAGAGCCTGGGACACCTAACAGAGACTACCTCCCTGAAGGGTGGAGCTTCCTGAGTCCTGTGAGGTTTCTGACTGGCTTGATCCTGTGTACCCACTGAGAGCTCCTGAGTGCAATGGATATTTTCACAACCTTCCCTGACCTCTGGTTCCTACAATGCTTCCGCCTCCTCTTCTACAATCTTGCCTGAGTGCAGTGGGGAAAGGGTGTGATACTTAAGTGTTTTTTAGGGATGGGCATACCACAGTTAATCATTCTCTGTATTGACTATCTGTAGCCCTCCATATAAATTTACCTGCAGATTTCAAAATTTAATTTTTCTTTACAACTGAACAAAATTCCATTGGGCATTATGTACCACATCTTATTATCCACCTGGGATCTAGCGGCAAACTTAGCTATTGCTGATGAGCTAATCTGTAATGATGGTAAGCCATCTTCCAAATATTTATAGCTAGAGACAAATGCTACTCACTCTCAGCCACTCTATGCAAATGGCTGTGAATGCAGAGACATGACTGTTCAAGATGCTGAGAAGTGACAGTCTGGTGTACAGTCCTACTTCTCAGGCTCAGGGACCGCTGTGGAAGATGGGGAGGAAAGGATGTGAGAGGAATACTGTAGGGAGAAAGGGCTGCGAAGTGCCAGCTTCTGGGCATGGCACAGCCAGTACAGGGGAGGCTACACAGAATCTGTGGCGCCTGTGAGAAGTCAAGCACAGATTAGGGAGGAGGTTCACACACCCCTCCCCCTTCCTGTAGATGTACTGGTTACTGATGGATTCTGGGAGAGGGACAGCAATTATCTTCTATTGTATACCAAGTTCCAAATCCATGGTCACACAGATGGTCTTAGTTAAACTTAGTGAAATCTCAAAAAAAAAAAATATGGCAAGGCATCAGTGTTTAAATGGGAATTTGTAGGGAAGGAAGGACAGACAAGTTGGGAGCAGGAGGGCCATGGCCATGCTCACTCTGCTGGAGCATCCCAAGTATGATGCAGCAACCAGGAGCTGCTGGATGTTTGCATGTTTCCTATGAACAGCACAGGGGTTTGGGTTAGTCAGTCATACCTGGTCTTGGTGGGAGGTCTTAGTATTTAAGCAGTCTTGCAGTCTTCTGGGAGGAAGAAGTCCCCATTGCTACTTCTGCCACACACTGGTCAATCCTTCCTAACTCCTGTGCTCTACACCTTCCCTCACGGCTTCCTCTACTCCCCACACTAGTACTTTGCTGCAGTTTCCTACCAGATCTAGAGTTTTCCGGTGGAATACTTAGGGTCTCATTTTAAGTATAAGATCAAGCCGTTTCAAATCAGGATATTCTGACTTCTTTCTTTTCTGTTTGTATCCTCTTTCCTTCCTTTCTCCTGGCTTCTTGCTCTACGATTTTCAGAACTATATTGACTGAATAAGAGTGGAAAGGAAAGAGTGGGCATCCTGGCCTAGTTCCCAATCTTTGAGGAACTGCTCTCATTTCCCCCGATTTTGCATAGTGCTGGTTCTAAGGTTGTCATGGATAGCCTTAATTATGTTGAAATATGTTCCTTCTAGTCCTTTTTTTCCAGTTTATTGTACCATGAATTCTAAGATGAAGCATGAATTCTAACTGTTTTTAATTATAAAAACCTGGAGTCAGATATAGGGGCTAATGCTGAAAGATCAGAGAAGCAGAGCAGCCAACCATTAGAGAATTCTTACCTCTACCAATGCTCAGACCAAAGAGGCAATCCTGTCTCTACAAATCCTCAGACTACTGCTACCTCTATGAAACCTCAGACTGCATCTAAGCTCCTGTCTTCTCCTGCCTTCTGTTCCTCTCTGTACTCAGTCATATCACTCCTGTCCACCTCCCTAGTGCTGGGATTGAAGGCGTATGATCCCAAGTGCTGGGATCACCTTTATGTGAGCTGTTTCTCTTTTAGACAGAACCAATCTCGTGTAACCCAGGGCAGCCTTGAATTCAGAGATCCTCTGCCTCTGTCTCCCAAGTGCTAGGATTAAAGGTGTGTGCCACCACTGCCTGGCTTCTAGTGGCTTAGTTCTGCACTATGATCTTCAGGCAAGCTTTATTAGTTAAATTACAAGCAAAATGGCACTATAATTTATAACCATGAAGGGATGGACAACTTTATCAAATACTTTTCTGCATCTATTGAAATAATCATTTATTTTTGTTCTTCCAACTATTTATGTACTTTATTAAACTTGATGATGCATGCTGAATCAGCTGTGTCCTTGAATGAACCATATTTGGTCATGGTGTATGATGTTCTTAACATGTTCTCAAATTTGGTTTGTATTTAATTGAGAACATTTTTGTTTTGTTTTTGTTTTCTTGGTTTTTTTCAAGACAGGATTTCTCTGTGTAGCCCTCCTGGAACTTGCACTATAGACCAGGCTGGCTCCAAACTCAGAGATTCGCCCGCCCCTGCCTCCTGAGTGCTAGGATTGAAGGCATGCACCACCACCACCTGGTTTATTGAGAACATTTGTTCCTATGTTCTTCAGAGATATTGGACAAGTGTTTCAATTGATACTTGTCTTCGGTTCTCACCCAGTTTTATACCAGGGCAGTGCTAGCTTCAGAGAATGAGCCTGGTGTAGTCACACCTTCAGATGTATTGTGCATGACGGATCGAATTAATTGTCAGGAAAGCTTTGTCCAAGTTGGGCTGTGCTTGCGTATGTCTTAAATAAACCACTGAGGGTCAGACTCCAAAATTTGAACCCATACCAGTTACTTAGTTGTACTGAACCGAGCTTCCATTTTGCCCCCCACTGACCTCTACTCTGCTCCCATGAAGGTCGCAGAGACGCCCCAGCCATTGAACCCACATGAAATGTGCATGAAGCATCTCCATTTTCTTCGCTAGGCAGTCTGGCTGCTCCTTCCACCATAGTTTTGTAGTTCTTGAAGGAGATGCCATGAGCAATCTCTGTGCAGTGGATGTGCTGTGCCTCAGTTTCAGCTCCTTGACACTGTGAGTAGGCGCTTCTGGAACACACCAGACAGCACATGCCTTGCTTTCTTGTAGCCCCCAAATCTTTCCCACACCTTACTGCCAACGGCTCTGCATTTCTTCCAGCTACATTTAATTGTGACTAGTGCTACATGAACCTTTCTGACAGTGTTGGACTTCACAAGAAGTCTGAAGACAACCATGATTGCCAGAGAGAGCCCCTGGAGTCCTTTTTCAGACAGTACTGCACGTGCAGACCCAAAGAGCATCACTGATTTATGCCTTATGTGTTCGTTAAGCCATTCACCACTACATTTGTCTGGCTAAAACCTCTTTAGGCTTTAAGACCCAGCTTTAGAATTCCAAACTTGCTGAAGTGTTTTCCCCTAAGCTGTCAACAACCTATGTATACTTTCATCTTGGCATTTAGTGTATAGTATTATAATACCAGACTGTAATAGATTAATACACAGCAAGATACTAGGACCAAAAAGAAAAGAAGGAAGAAAAAAAAGAAAGGAAGGAAGGAAGGAAGGAAGGAACCTGAAAGGGAGGAAATCCTATATTTGTTATTTAGTTCTTATAAAGATGACATAAATTTATATACTTAAAATGATTGTAACATAAAATTAAAAGATTAGAAAAATGAGCTAGAAGCCAGGTGGTGGAGGCACATGCCTTTAACTCCAGCACGTGGCAGGCAGAAGCAGGTGGATCTCTGTGAGGTCAAGAACAGCCAGGCCTACACAGTAAGTTCCTGGACAGTCAGGACTACACAGAGAAACCCTGTATCAAAAACCCAAAACCAACCAAGCAAACACAAATCTACCACACTAGAGGCAATTTTAAGAGACTCACATTACATGATACAACTTGACGTCTACATTAAGGAAGGACTTAGTATTCCCAGGTAATGTGATAAATAATAACAGTCTAAGAAAGAACCAGGTGTTGGCTTTACTTTTAGAAAGTGCATCATCTGAGAAGGGAAAGTTTCTGGCAAAGAAAAAAAACTAGAGGAGTAAATGGATGAATGAATCCAGTAAGTAGAGACTACAGGTGAGGTTCAATAGCCATCTTTCCTTCTCCTGTGACTCTTTTACAATTGCTTACTTACCAAGACTATGCTGCATGATCTAGTCTATAGCTATTAAACAAGTATAGGCTGACAAGACAGTGCAACAGTTAAGACTCTATTTCAGTTCCCCACATGATGGCTCACAAGTGCTTGTAACTCCAGTTCCAGCAGATCCAATGCCCATTTCTGCTCTTCCTGGGCATCAGGTATACACATGGCACATAAACATACATGCAGGTAAGACATTCATACACATAAAATAAAAAATAAAAACCTCTTAATATATCGTAAATACATATATTAATAAAACTATACTAAAACAAATAGGTAAATTACTTTCTATGTCAGAAAAAAATTCTGAAGTGTATTTACTCATTGCTACTTAGAGACTGTTTAGTTAATAAGGCTATGTAGACAGGAAAAGATAAGGAAAAACTATGAGAACAGAACACGAATCATAGATAATGATTATGTTTCTACATGTATACTGACAGTAGTTGAAAGCAGTCATGATAGATATAGCCATTAGGGTTTGGGTTAAGAGTTAAATATATAACCTTTAAAGATATTACCACTTCTTAGATTTCCCTGCTAAAAAGACACACTAAAAACAGAATATATAATTTTTAGGTTACACATGCATTCTCGATTTCTAGTAGCTTGTAATCTACAAAAATAAGTAACTTGTAACATACAGCAGTCAAGTGTAAGATTAAGGCGTTTGGTTTCATAAATGAAGAGCTTTGTGATCTCGCGTTCCCAGTGCTCTAAGAAAGGAGGAGATAGAGATCTACGTATCTGACCGGTGCTGACATTACCTGGCATAGCATTTCCACTCATGTCAGCATTCATGACAGCAGTGAAAACAAAGAGAAGTAAACATTAAAAGAGGATGTTGAGAAATGAGCAGGGATGTGGGGCAAAGACTGATCCTGAAGGTCAGTCATCTTCCCCTGGAGCTAAGGGAGGCCAGCTGACTACAAACGGTGCTGAGCATCCTTAAGTGTGGGCTTAGTGATTTCAATTCTAGCTTCACCACATTCTTCGTGGTCTCTAACATAAAGAGACAGACAAGAAGTCAGCATCCTGGCTCACTGACATGTTCTCAGTCATTTGGAATCTCTGGTATTTGTTGCAGGGCAAAATTAGGATCCCATAATCTCAAGGTTTATAAAGAAATAAAAACTGCCCAGGGAATTAAAATATTAAAAACTTTCTCATATTAGCTGTATTCTGAACTAGATAATTTAGAAACTATATACTGACCAATATAAGAGCCTTTGATTTCGAAATAACAAGATTATTTGATATATAGTTGTATTATTTCATTAGGTATCAACTGCTATAATAAATAATACATTGTTTTAAAATGCTAAGATGAAGCTTAAATGCCAATATATCTCCTTAAATAGACGGGCCCTAGAGAACATGGAGATTAAAGTATAAAGATTTGTGATGTGAAATATGGCTACATGTCTTACAATGAAATCAATAATCCAGCTACATATTAAAATTTTTATTCTTTAAAAATTGTATTGCATTTATTTATAAGTGTGTGTGTGTGTGTAGGGTGTACCCATGTCATAGCACACATATAGAAGTAAGAAAATAACTTGGAATAATTGGTTCTTTCCTTTCACCATGTGGGTCCCATGAATTGAATCGAATTCCTCAGGCGTGGGGAAACCACCTTAACTCACATAGCTATCTCAATGACTCTAAAATTTCTTATTCCTCCTTAAGCTTAACTAATTAGATATTTCACTCTGTATAGAATACTAGAATACATAGTGATTCTCTGAAGTTCTTTTATCAGCTATAAGACCAATGAAAACTATTGTTGGAGACTAACAAGGGATTTGTTACTGTAACATAAGCAATGATATTAGCAAAGGTAAATATTTCACTCTGATCCCACTGGAGTAAGTCTCCAGGTCATGCACTTTAAACATGCACTTCCTCACAGAGGCTATGTCATCAGCCCACCCAACATGCACCTCTCAAAACCTGCCTGACTAGTCTTCTAGCCCCAATCACACATTTGCATTTACCTTCCACTTTCTACCCCCTCCACACACACACACACACACACACACACACACACACACACACACACTGCTGTGAGTGTCACAAAACTATTTAGTGTTCTAGACACAGTCTTAAATAACAAGGGAGAAACTATGGGAGAAAGATACAACTTAGGAAAACTAACCCTAATGACAAGTCAAGCTGAGAAGTCTAAAGGAGATCTACTCTTGCCCAAGGTCTTTATTTTTTTTGTAATGGGCTAACATCTCCAAATTAAGAATTCTTAATGTTTTAAATTTCAAGTTTATGTTCCAGAGTATAAAATTTAAACTGTGTAACCAAGACTGCCTTCTCATGGGCTTGCTGAGAGGAAAGGCACTGAGAGAACTGGAAGGCAGTAGTCCTCAGGAAGTAGGCAGTGGTGGAATAAGAAGCACTGTAGGGGGTGGTGAGCCAGTGTGGACACCCTGAAATAGCAGGTGGCACTCTGCAAACACCCCGGATTCAGCAGGCACCTTAACCTCTGCATCCTACTCTGCGGAGACACCAAGTTAGACAATGACACTGTCCTCTGAGACTTTCAGTCCCCACCTCATCCATGCTCATGACTGTGGCAAAGACAGGGACTAGAGAGGAAGAAAGAGCAGACAGGAGGAGGGAAGCCATGTCACAGAGAAGCTCGAAATCCCTCCTGAACTCAAGTGCAATAAAGACCCGAAAACAAAGACCAGGCCAACCCATGTGCTCTTGTTCTTCTGCCTCATGATGATGGCCTTGGTCCCAGGACTCAGAATGATGCCACTACTTATGTACACAGCATTACTTCATAAACTGCCTCAATTACACCATAGAAACATTCTGAAAGACATGTTAAGAACCAACTTGTCAATCAATACAGTGCAAAAACAGTAAGTGAATACTTGATATACAGTAAAGTGTGTCAGCTGAGTATTAAAGGTGGGGAGAAAGCAAAGAGGAGGAAGAAAATTCATCACAGGGCCTGGAGAGATGGCTCAGCAGTTAAGAGCACTGGCTGCTCTTTCAGAGGTCCTGAGTTCAATTCCCAGCAACCACACAGTGGCTCACAACCATCTGTAATGAGCTCTTCTGGCCTGCAAGGATACAGGCAATCAGAACACTGTATATATAATAATTAAATAAATCTTTAAAAAAAATGAAAAAGGAAAAAAGAAAATTCTTCACTCTACAGAACTGGTAGCTTTTAGGCCTTCGTTGTGAGGAATTTTTATTTAATTTTTTATTTTTATTTTTTTAGACTTTTTAAACAGGGCTTAAAAACCTCTGCAATCATGGCTGTCCTGTAACTCACTCTGTAGACCAGGTTGGTCTTGAACTCACATTCACCTGCTTCTGCCTCCCAGTGTTGGATTAAAGGCATGTGCCATAGTGTTCACCTCTGGGAAATATAACCAGTTCACAATTTAGGGACAGTCACATGTCCTGTATCATCAAGAACATATTAGGGCACAGGAAAATGATATTACAAAACACCAACAGCTTTCTTTTAAGGGTCTACTTTAAGTATTAGTAAACTTTTCATGAATTATTGAATTTATATGCAAAAGAATTACCTGCCAAAATTTCGGTGTTTCTTGCAGCTATTGTTTTTACTTTTATTATTCCAGATTCAGCAGCCTGTAGGAACAAAAATATATTAGAGAATAAAACTTACTATAAATATAAATTATGGTGGGAAAATAAACACAAAATTAAAAGCACGAATAGTCACTATCATCTTTATTCTTAAAACACTAGAAGTCTAGTACTAGCACTTGCATAAAACATAACAAAATTTGGTCATCTGGATTACTGACATGCAAACTGCACTTCACCTGATGCCCCCCCCCTTCCTTAGGCAAACCCGGAACACCTGAGCACTGTACAGATTTCTACAGTCAGACAATAAAACAAAAACCAATGAGAAGAACAAGATTCTTCTTCCCCTCTTTGCACAAACCTCCCCTCTCTCTACCTCAAACTGCAAAGCCCAAAAATTAAGTACTGTCTTGAATAGGTATCAATCCTCTTTTCTACACTTCTATATTTTAAAGATTTATTTTATTTATATGTGTATGTTTCTGAGAAACCATAGAGACCAAAGGGAAGAACTCGGAGCTGGAATTTTAAGTGCTTGTGAGACACCCTATAATCTGTAATATAATATAATATAATCTATAATATACTGTATTACATATTATAATATATGTAATAATTATATAATATATAATATGTTATGTATTATAATATATGATATAATCTATAAGTGCTATGATCTAAATTCAGGTCATGAGCATACATGAACATCACACATACACAAAAAGGGAAAACGAAAAAAATCATCCCTAAATTCAAGAAATCACCAAAAAAAAACCCTATTTGCTGTTTTAGATATTAATATTAGACCTACTTCATCATTCTCCATTTTTTACAACTAAATTACTATCTGACAAAGCTCTTGGAATTATTATCCTCATTGACATGTGTTGCTAGAAATTTTTACTAAAAATGTTCATTGCAAAACACATATAACAAGGTGCTCTAACCCCAACTATGGTAGTCTTACTTCATGCCAGACTAACTCTAGCATAGCCTACCTAATCTGGAGATTCCTGTAGAAAATGAGGTATTCAGAGACAGGTCTCCATCTCCTCACACAGGCCTAGAGGTGTGAGGAGAGGATCTCTGGCTGGGTGTGGTGGCTAATCCTACACTAAGCTGGAAGACCGAGGGAGAATGAATGCCTGTTCTGAGCCAGGTTAGGCTGTGAGACATTAGCTCGAAAGAAAACAACAAAATAGGACTGGAGAGATGAGAGCAATTCTTGCAAAGGACCTGGATTCAACAAAATCATCTGTAACTCCAGTTGCAGGGGCTACAACTGGGAATGCCTTATCCATTCATGTTACTGTATCTGTTGCTTTGGTCTAGTATAAGCCCTTTTATTACTAACACTTACCACACCCCCTTTTAAATACGTAGCTACATAATAAAGGTTTCGAAATGAAAAGCTAACATAGTGTAAAAATTCAAACTCACTTAAAAGGTGGGAAAGAGGAAAGAATTTACTGCCTCACTACAAGAAGAATCCTAAGAACTGAGACTCACAGATTCACGAGGCTACTAGATGTAGTTCATTTCTCTGTCATTCTCATCTTGGGTCTGGTCTGTTATATGACAGGCTCAGCCTCAAGCTGTCTCCAACCTTATCAATAAAAATAACCGCAGCTATTTAACACCTCAGACTTCCCATGACACTACCTGGAAAGAAGAGAGTCTCAACAGATTTTGATGGGGAGCCCCCCTCTTTAACTAGGAGTACACATTAGCACTGTGTGAGTTGAGACGCCCCCCACCCCCCTTTAACTAGGAGTACACATTAGCACTGTGTGAGTTGAGAAGCCCCCCCCCAACTAGGAGGACACATTAGCACTGTGTGAGTTGAGAAGCCCCCCCCAACTAGGAGGACACATTAGCACTGTGTAAGTTGAGAAGCCCCCCCCCCGCCTTTAACTAGGAGTATGCATTAGCACTGTGTGAGTTGAGAAGCAGAGAGATGTAATTTTCCTTTAAATGTGTGTGAGCGCTTTGCCTGCATCTATATATGTACACCATGTGAAGGCTTAATACCTATAGCAGTCAGAAGAGAGTGCTGGAAACCCTGGAACTGAAATTACAGATGGTAGTGAACTACCATGTGGGAGCTGGGAACCAAACCTGAGGTCTCTGCAAGACCAACAAATGCTCTTAAGCACTGAGCTATTTCTCCAGCCCCAAAGTGGAGATTATTCAAACTAGATTAAGCAAACCAAAGCACTCAGTAGCTAGGAATTAATTAGCTCATCTAAATCTGGAAGGTACTGTGTGAAGATTGTAGGCTACCAATGAAGGAAGGACAACAATGTCCATTACAGAAGGATGAACATGCCAATCACTACAACTACAACAGATTAATTTCTTTAAGGTTTATAAGTCAGGCATGATGGCACAAGTCCATAATCCCAAAGAGGGTCAGGAGTGCAAGAGCAGCTTCGCCTACACAGTAAGTTCAAGGCCAGTCTGGGATACATGAGTCTGTTTAAAACACCAAAAGTAAACAAGTGGTTTTAAATGTTTCCTATCATAAAAACTCAAAAACTCATGCCTCTGCTTTTAACAAATACATCTTTTGCAACTCATGAGAAAAATAATCTAAAATTAGAACAAAAATTTCAAAATTCCAAATTAATCATTCATAGACCAAAACACTGAAATGAAAGCTAAGAAAAACAGGTGAAGTTTAACTTTTGTCAACTTAGATACTACAGTGTATTTATGAGACACAGACGAAGGACGGGGATGCCCTGAGCTCTTTCCTCATGTCAGGTAAATGACCCAAAGTCAAATACACACTTGGGAGTACTCAAAAGATATAGAATATCTCCCAACTGACAATGTGCTTATAAAAGAATTACTACATCAAAACCAATAAAATACTCTTTCATAACATTCAACTATTCTACAACTGTGGCTTCAAAAACCATGTATGACAGTTTATTCCAAGCCCACAGTTTCAAAGAAATAAGCTTCCTTTAGCATGTAAAATAGAAGACTGGAATGCAGCATGCATGTAGATGGCTAAAAACATCCTTTCTCTTTCCCATTCTTTTCCTAAAATTTTAAACTTCAATAAAGAATCTAGGTAGCACATCCTCAGTCTACAGTTTTATGCTACATTGGCTATAAAGATAGATAAGATGAAATGGAGATCCTTTAGGCTTTATTTATAAAAAGGGGGAGAAACTCAAAACTATAACAGAAGATAACATTTAAGAGTTATAGGAAATAACTTATGTAATAGGCTTAACTTAAAAACGAGGGGAGGCAAAGGAAAGCACACTAGACAACTAAGCCTGCGAGCCTGGGCAGGAGCTTTCACCTCACAGCCAGCTCCCATTTGACACGCAGTTAAGTGTTTAAAATTTATTTCATCAATGAATGAATAAACAAGGAATAAAATCAGAAAATTACCTGTGAATTTAGTTCACTTACATGGTAAATGAGTTGGGAAGTGTTTGGGTGGAACCTCCATCCAAGTCCCCTCCCCTGCGAGGTGCCTCAGTCCAGACTCCATCCCTGAGAAAGCCCGCCAACCGATGACCCCTCCCCACAGATGCTCAAGACCACTCCCACAGAGTATTTAAACTGTCCCACAGAAAACAAATGTGTGGTTTTCCAGTCTTCCTTCCTGTCTCCTCTCTGGGAGACTGGAAAGCCATCCAGGGGCGCTTGAATTCATTAAACCTGGGGTTTTTCTAGTTCAGTTTGATTTGGTCTGATTTAGATTATTGGCTTACTGGGGTGCAGAAACTTTTCAGGAAGTATCTGGAGTGAGATTAATGCAAGACAGAATTCTAACGGGACATCAGCATGAAAGGTGGAAGCAAGGGCACCTCTGAGGACTAACACATGATCACTGACTGCCTAAATAGAGTGGGTAGGGATGAGGAAGCCAGAGAGGAAAGTTGGGAAGACCAAGCGGGTATGAAATGCTATCCTAAGATATTTAATAATCACATGGTAACGACCAAGAGTTTCTGAGTGCTACGTGTGCTGATTTAACTTACTTATGTCAATGATATACATCAAAAGTCAGACATAATGTTAAAATCTGGTGTAGGATAGTACAAGAGAAGAGGGGGAAAGCCAGAAACTACAGAAAGCAGCAAGCGGGAAAAGACAGCCAGACAGGAGTAGGATGAGCAACAGTGATATGCTATCAATAAAGAGGCAAAGGAACAGGGAGCAGGGCTGTTTTTAGCGGAGCATAGTTCAGTGACAACTTCTGGCTGCACCATGTGGAAGATATTCTGGTAAAGGTGTTACACAGGCTGATGGAAACACAGAGTGCATGGGACAATTAAAGCCACTGGTACGGTACTAAGGCCAAAAGCAAGGAAAGAGCATGAAGAAAGGTTGGAAGATGAACCAGGACACACTCACACCTAAAGAACAGGACTCCTGAGAGAGGAGATGCACAAACAGTGCACTACAAAAATCTAAACGAGACAGTTTCTAGGTGGAAGAATGGTCAGCAGCAGTAATGAGGTGGACAGGTGATGTCTGTAGAACGCTGTTACGGGGCTCCCTCCACAGCCCCACTTTAACTACTGAGCACCTCTGAACCTCCTCACGGGTAAAATGAAGTACTGACTGATTTTATTCTCTTTTTCCTTTGGGACAGTTTCTTGATGTATGGCCCAGGCCAGCCTGTAACTAGGTAGATCAGGCTGGCCTCAAACTCAGACCTGCCTGCCTCTGCCTCCCGCGTGCTGTGCTCACACTCCACCTGACTCCTTTTTCTTCTGAGACAGATTCTTGTTATGTAGCTCAGTCTGGTGTGGAACTTGAGATCCTCCTGCCTCAGCCTTCTAAAGGCTAGAATCTAGGTGTGCTGAGATATAAAATATTTACAGTGGTATGTTAAAAGATGCAAAGGTTCCTACACTGTTGTAAAGACTATATTTTATTTAACTGAGTTACCTTCACGAAAATAAAGGTAGTTTCTATTTTTGTTTGTTTTTTTGCCATGTTCTGCACTTAAGAGGCTAATAAATTGCTATTAGCACAATCTACTTTGTACTTGCTTAAAAATAAGCTTTTCTCTCACAGGAGAGCGAGAGAAAGAACTCAGGTGATTTTAAGTCACAGACAATGTCTTTTATTTCTTTGTCATCAAAGAACAGTGCCACAGAGCAATCAATGCAATGCAATACTGTATTAGTCTCTATCCTTATGTATTTCAATATATAAAACATGAGTTTATTCTATTATATTTATGGGAGAAAGAACACCCGCTGCCAAGGGGAAATAACAATGAACTAAAAATACTAAACCAAAAGGGTTCACAAGTAACCATGGCTAGATTATCCAGCCTCCATTCTTCACTGTGAGATGGTGAAAATGAAGTCTAAATGAAGCCTCAGGTCCCACAGAAAAGAACAAACAGAAAACCCTCCTGCGGCAGTAAAAGGCAGCCTGTCACAACCTGGTCTTTAGCAGCCACCAACTGACACAAAACAAAAACTGCGCTGGAAAACTATGCCACAAGGAACCTCTGATTTAGACAAAAACCTTCACCAAGGTGCCAGTGAATAACAGAGAGCTTGGACGCACACAGCCTGGAAACATGACTGCAATGATGCTTTGTCAGTCGGAGCTATTAAAAAGACAGAAGTCTGAAAGGTGGCTCCGAAGTAAAGGTATTATCCCCAGACCTGCCCATCCGAGCCTGCTTTTAGGTGCATCTCATGTGTCTGATGCCAGTGAAGGCCAGAAGAAGGCATCTGATCCCCTTGAATTGGGGTTACAGGGAGTCTGGAGTCAACATAGGGTGCTGGGAATCAAACCGGGTCCTCTGGGGGAGCAGCAGTGCTCTTAAAACACTAGCCATCTGTCCAGGCCCGAGTAAGAATCTTTGTTTCAGGAAATCTTTATGGAACATGAACCGTACACAAGATCATCTATTAGAGACAGAATGACAAGAATGATTCTTGCCATTGCTGCAACGGCTAGGAGCGATTACTAAGGAGCTATCTGGCCAGTGATTAAGTAAAAACTAATGCATCTCAATGAAAGCACCAGGATTAGGAATGTAGTGAGTTCTAGAACTTTCTAAGTTACCTGTTGGAACTTGGTGCTTTCCCAATAAAAATACCACAGGAGGTAGCAGTTAAAGTCTCAGCTTAACCCAGGGCCTACAGCACAGAGGAGTCACAGTTCTTTTTTTGTTTTGTTTGTTGTTGTTGTTTGTTTTCTTTGGGCTTTTTTTTTTTTCTGGAGACAGGGTTTCTCTATGTAGCTTTGGAGTCTGTCCTGGAACTTGCTCTGTAGACCAGGATGGTCTTGAACTCACAGCGATCTGCCTGCCTCTGCCTCCTGAGTGCTGGGATTAAAGGTGTGAGCCATCAACATCCTGCAAGTCATAGTTCTTAATGTTGCTGAAATTATAGTAGAATTTGATGTTTTTAAAACAAGAAAAATTTTTACACTAAAAGGAACCTCTCAATTTCTCTCTCTCTCTCTCTCGTGTGTGTGTGTGTGTGTGTGTGTGTGTGTGTGTGTGTGTGTGTGTGTAGGGATGTCTCAACAGGACCTCACTCCATAGCCCCCAGGCTGGCTTCAAACTCACCCCCATCTTCCTACCTCATCGTCCTGGGTGCTAGAATTACAGGTGAGACCCATAATATCTGGGAAGACACCCTAATTCTTTAAAATTACTGGTTATAACTTTCAACAGACAGATGATATAGAAACAACAAAGAAGATAAATACCAAAACAAATTAGTGGTTATCTGAACTAAAACTAGTATCTCCCTCGAAGGGATCCATCTGGTCTCTACTCTGGGTCACTAAAAGAAACTGGAATTTGTTAAAGACAGGTTCTGCAAGGCACTCACAGAAAACTTAAAGATTCCTTAGAAGCCTAAATTATAAACTTTATCAGAGTCAAGTTCTAATTATAAAACTTTTTACAATAAGGATAAATACAGTTTTAGGTGGAAAAATACAAACTCATTTGGTAATTTTTAATGGCAAACAGAATATTACATGGCAGGTATATTAAGCTACACTCACCAGGAATAAAAATTAAATGACTAGTTTTGCAGTATCTTTGAACTACATTATTTCTTATTTTTGATTTTTAAAAAACTTACTCATTTCTGTTTTATGTATACAAGTGATTTGCCTATATGGTGTTTGTGCATCACATGTGCGCCTGCTGTCTTCAGAGGCCAGAAGAGGGAGTTGGACGCCTTGAAACTGGAATTACAGATGGTTGTGAGCCACTGTGTCTGTGCTGGGAATGGACCAGTGATCTCTGGAAGAGCAACCAGTGCTCTTAACTGCTGAGCCAGCTTTCCCCCTGAACTCCAGTAGATATCACAAATAGGAAAAGACACGGCTTTTAAAGCAGTTCAACATGAATGAAATCTTGAGAAAAAAAAGTCAGGAATGACTGAATTAAATAGTGACTGAATTAAAATCTTCAATTCAGTATTTGGAATTTTTATTAGCATGTATAAAGTTGACCTTCTTTACTGATACTCTCTCTCCTCCCTTTGAGGATTTTCCATCATCATCATCATCATCATTACCATTTAGGTTTTCTGAGACAAGATCTCTTTATGTAGCCCTGGCTGTCCCGGTGTCCTCTCTAACTCAGAGATCCACTTGCCTCTGAGCACTGGGAATAAAAGTTTGGCCACCACACCTGGCCTCCCATAATCGTATAAAACCACATCGTATAAATCGTATAAAACTACAGCTGCAAAAACAAACAAACAAACTCAAAGACCAAGAAGTTATATTCAGGTGCATTTGTTTTTAATCCAAGCCAAAGCTTCCCACTAAAATACTGCTTTAAGATGATTGTGGTAGGCCTTGACCATTTGTGGTAAATTGGGTGCTCTGGTTTATTAAGACAATGAGACTGAGAATTAAGTCAAGAAGGAAATGTTTCCCAGGGAGTGATACACATGCATTATCTACATATGGAGTACAGATTTCCGCTATAGTAGTGGAGTTTACTATTTAGGAGGAGCAATACACCTGACTCAATTCACCAAATCGGTTCATTCCAGGAACTTCACTCCGAAATAAACATGACAGGATTTTATCTGTTAAGGAGTGCATCTCCTTAGCACTCTCAAAGGAAACTATAAACAGCATTTGTGGTACAATCACCGACTTAAACCTGCTGGAGGAATGAAAATTAGGCACTGGGCTGGGGAATCGAGAAAAGGATAGGACCGGGGAGTGCTCGCTGCGTTTGCCCCTGGCGTCGTCTGAAGCATACCTCCTTGACAGGTGGGAATTTCTTCTTGCATTCTAGTGACAAGGCCCGCAGGTCGCTCTGCATGTTCTCCAGGAGCTTCTTCACAGCCTCTGGGCTGTTGGTGCCGGACATGGTCCCCCCGGGTCCTAGCCGATCGGGGAACGGCACAGCAGGTTGGCACTGTCAGCTCCTTGGGCGGTGGGCAGCGAGCCGGCGGCCCTCAACCTCCCGCAGCCCAGCCCAGGGCTCCGCGGGCGGACGCACGGCCGGGCCTGGG